TAAAAAAAAGAGCCAAAGTAGTAGACGTTTAAAAAACTCCAATAATTGCTCTTTTTTATGGCTTGTCCCATTTACTTCAATGCAAAATTTTACCATCATTTTTGGCAACTCACATTTTAAAAAATTTATAAAGAAAAGTAACAGCACACCGACCCCAATCAACCCGCACTTTTTGATATATAATTGTCATACAACTCTTTACGCTTTAGGACTAGTTGTTAATTTAAGTTTGACTGGAGGCGGAATAAGAACAAAATTAACAGTATAAAAATGCATTTGCCTCGTGGCCCTCATTAGACAGCAAGGATCGATGCAAAACTACAAATCATGATAAATGGACTGTTATCAATGTTGAAATTTGAAAGCGTAATTGTTTTAATACATTTCATTGAAGGTAGATAATGGACCTGCTAATCTTGTCTCGTCTCTGGAGAAAGTCAGTTTTTGTGGTATGGTCTCCAAGAAAAGGGTCTATTCTTGTAAAACAGGCAGACAAAAAGCCATGAAGCCCCAACTATGAATCAGGCAACTGAATGTGCAAAACCGCCTTGACAAACACACACTCATACAGTCAGAAGTATTCACTAGTGTATCCTTGTGTACTGTATGCACAGATGCAGTGAAGGACACACAGACAAAAGCCACAGGAGCACAAGCACCCACACACCCACAGTCACTTCACTGTTCTTAAGCAAACAGCCTCTGGCACAGTGAAGAGCATGTCAGCGGTGTGGGCTGACACTCTGTCACACAAATCCTCCTCCTGCCTGTTAACCTATCACACTAACAGCCTGAAATATCCACCTTTGTCCACTACTGCTTTGATTCATGACGATTTTTAATTCCTGAGGCCACAGACTCATTACTCCTGTCAAAAACAGAGGCTGAAGATACAAAAATAGAGCTTCAAAGGTGTGCAAAAGGAGGCTATGTCTTGTGGAGGTGATCTTCCTCATTACAGTGAAGAGAGATGGAGAGCAGAGCAGTGTGTGCCCTGCACCTGGAGAGACAGGTTCGTCTGGGATTGGGTGCCTGTAGCAGCAGAGGCAGAGAGGATGAGGAGGCAGACAGGCAGGCAGGCAAGCAGGCAGGCAGGCAGGCAGGCGGGCGATGTGCCAGGGTTCTCCCCACATCCTGAGACACTCTAATTAAGGAGCACTGTGGGGAGAAAAGGCGACAACAACAGCTCTGCATTGTCACATAATGATTTTCCTATCATCTCAGGAAACAGTGCACATCTCTTCTCTGATGGGTTTGCATGTGTGTTTCTCGAACGTCCGTCTAGTCACACCCAGGGAGTCGTGGTGCTATTTCAGAGCCTGACAGTGAAATTTTCAAGTCACCCTGTAACAGCAGTGTGAAGCAATGCTTGATGGAAACCAGCCAAAGGAGCTGCAAATGTATCCCCTTTAATCCATACACTGTGAGCTTATTTTGACTCTGTCATCATCATCAGTGTGTTTTCTGGGGGAGGACTTTCACTCATTCTTTACATGGATGCCTGTTTAATCTACATACAATATTTCCACATACTATACCTCTCTTTTCATTTCTCTAATTTTTTCTGTTTACAAATGTCCAAATTAAGGCTTTGTTTCTGTACATGGGGCCTTAATTTTTAAAGTACAAGGATAATATTTCAGTTCAATTAGGATAGTTTATATTAAAAAAGATTCATGATATCACAGTCAGACTGGAGTATGTCTGTCTCCTCTAGAAACACTCTGAAGCCTTTCACAACGAATATTTTATGCTTAAATGTGGGTTACATTCACTGAGCTGAGAGTAAAATTTGAGGTAGTAGATGTGTTCAGTCTGATTTCCAAAGAACCTCTTTGAATTTTAAGTATGTTCATTGCTGTAGTTTTCTTTTGCACTATCCGCCCTTTCCTGAAAAGAAAATTTGACAGTGTTTCACGATGTAAATAACATGCAAATGAGTGATGAAATGTTCATGAATCTGTACATGCCTTCCATTTATATAACACAGCAGAAAGGAAATTAATTTCAGAGAAAAAAACATGAATAAAGGACGGTAAAAGAAAAAAAGAGAGGTTGAGAGAGAAAAAGCTGCCAAATGCATTGACTGGGGGAGGATAGGAGGGTGCTACGTCCGACCAGATGGGCTGCTTTGTGAAAGAGTAGCAGATGCCCTAAGATCCTATAGGCCATTGAAATGCCCCCAGCAGCTAAAAACCAAAGCGCTCATGAGACCGGGGCCAGTGACTCCTCCTTGTCACACATGCACTCTTTTTGATGAAATATGAGAGATAAGGGTTAAAAGTATTTCCTCGCCCTACATTGCAGTACAGTCTGCCCTGAAGAGGAGATCAGCTGGGTGATATTTCTATTCAGTTGTAATTTGGTAAATGGGTGCTGGTCAAAGAGCCAAGTGTGAGGCAAAAACTGAGCTTTTGTGCTTCATGAAAATAGAGTAGATTAGTACAATGCTTTTCCATTTGTTACATTCTCAGTTTATTGGAATTGTAATCTGAGACACATAAGTTTAACAACTAGACTAATGATGTACATTCTTTTGCCTTCATCATCCCTTATTTTGATCCACATGTTAATACATAATTTTAACAGTATTTGCACTGCCTTTAGACATCCAGAAAGCCTGAGTTCATCATGCTCAGACTCAGGATGATAACCATGCAAAGGCTGTTAGCCCTTACTGCTAAAGCTGCCCAGAGCACCATAGAAACACATGACTCATCATCCACAGAGGATGAGCTGCTCCTCTCACCGACTTTGTGTGATGATGTTGGGGGGTGTGGTTGTACTGTGGGGTTGTAATGATGAAACAGCTGCATACCAAGCAGACACCATCACGGTTTTGTTTGAGGAGAACATTACCCTCTAGTGGAGCACTACTGAACTATATCTAAGCTTCTAAGTAGTTACTGGGATTTAGATACTCCAATAAAGTCTGATATTTCTTGACTCTCTTTTTGTTGGCTAATTCTCTGACACAGTTTGTTGAATTCTGATTTAAATGCACTGGATAAATCAATAAATGTACTATATAATAAGGCAGGTTGTATTCTTTATTTTCCATTATTGTTAAAGCTCCTTTGAGGAGATTTTAGTTAGTGACAAAACAGCCTGAAATGTGTATATTGATGCATCTTCAGGAGCTAGAAAAGTAAATAAAATAAAAATATATAAAATAAAAATATAAAAGTTATAGTTGTGGTGCCTGACACCACTGCCACCAAATATGCATCAAGAGCTGATCAACTGTCAGATGCTACACTAACTTTTTATATATTTTTCACTGTGAAGATATTCAGTGAGTGACAACTCACAAGAATAATGTAAAAAATAAAAATAAAACTTTTTCTACTTAGAAGGAAGGGAAAAATTAGCAGAAATTTGAGACTCTATTCTGTCTACAGTGGGGCACCAAAATGAATGCAAATAGGCTGCAATTATGGCAAATCCCATAGTGTAGAAAACAAAGACTGTATTTACTATGGACAACTTGGTTCTGCTTTCCGCCAGTATACGGATTTGAAGCCGAAAAGCTCTCGGTATTTCCACGATTTCTCTCCATTTCCTGATACCCACATTGCGCAGTAGCATTGTATGCACTTCAGCACTTGTGCAGTAGCATATGACAGGAGAGTCGCCGAGAGTCGCTGTGATGACGCTCGGCTCAAACAGTGTATCACCCTGGTGAGCTACGCAGTCTTCATATGCCCATAGGATGTATCAAGTGTCAATCATAGAAAACATGAACCCCAAATAACTTTTAAAAATGGAGCTTTACAGAAAAAAGAGGACTTGAGCACAAACCAGTCTTACAGTAACTACATGTCAACATCACAAGCAGGAGGGAGAAAAAATTATATTCTATGTAATTAATTTCTAAAATTTGTCACAGCTCCATAAGTTTTGCTGGTGGAGGCAAGATTTATGACCTGTACTGCAGCCCATCAACAGAGTGTGCTGTTCTCAGAGTGGCTTCACCCAGCGAGGAGGCAGATAGCGTTCATTCTATAGAGTCTATGGTAGAAAACCAAAACCCTTTGTTTCTATCTGTTAGATCTCTCTGATTTCCTTTGCCCAGGAATAGATCGCTTGAGCTTGAAAGTTACATTTTTTAGAAAGAAAGAAATATCTTGTGGCCAGAGTCTAGTTTCAAAAAGCTTTTGCTCAGTTCTCCCATTGATAAAGTTCCTGAAGTGATAGTCACCTTCCAGGACTAAAACCCCTTATGATGTATGATGAGTGATTGTCCTTGTGTATAAAAGAAGAAGTTCATACAATTTGAATAAAAAGTGACTCATACTTATTTGTTTTTCCTCCATTTTGTGCATTCCAAGCAGTTAGCCACTGGATACAGACATGACTGTGGATCATACTAGTTTGTCATACTGCTGTGTTCTGGATCATCAGTGCAGGCTGAGCTGTACATGTACCAGGGTCTGTGTCAATGCTCTGTCGGACAGGGTCCAATCCTCTTGATGATATAGAGGCCAAATCGGCATGACCGTGCAATTGAGGCCACATGAACCTTAAAGGTTGGCTGGTCATCAATCACAGCATCAAGATTCCAGGCAGATATGAGTGGACATCAGTGTGTTTGATCCAAGCTGGTTACTGATCTGTGGTTGTTTGATGAGACTGGCTGGAGCGACAAGGAGCTCAGTCGTGGACAAGTTGAGCCAAAGTTGGTGATACTTCATTTGTCCAAAAACATCACTAAGGCATGATGAAATTTTGCCTCATTTATTATATTTTCTTTATTTTATTCAAAATGTGCACTATGTGTTCAGAGCTATCAGTTTATGTAAATGGTTGACATACAGTTGAACAATCTTAAGCAAAGGTCTTCTTTGTCTCAACCAAATAGTCCATTCCCAAAGAAAAAAGAAAAGTCTTAAAGTGCCTGTAATAATCACCCCAACTCGGGGCAGTTATTAAGTGTAGAAACATTTATCTGAACTTAAAGTACTTAAGTTTGTGAGATTGGTTTGTATTCTCTTCTCCCATCAGTCATCCTCTGTCACTCCTTTAAGACGAAGCTCCTCTTGAACCCTAGATAAATAATCTGGATCTGGATATCCAAAACTGAAATTATAAAAAAGATAGACAAGCAGACAATTTAGTGAGTGCACAAAAACTGAAACTTGAGATAATTTGTGTTGTGTAATTACCAGGAAAAATAAGATTTGAAAAACCTTTGCAGCACCAAATGTAAAAGAGTTTGATTATCCCACCAGAAAATATAAAAGGTGGAAAACTGCTAAATAATTTAAAGTAGAGATCCCCTGTAGATTGAAATGATGCTTTCAATATAATTTCATGGTGTTTTTTTTAAACATTTGTCTGTGAATAACATGCTTACCATTGTGGGCCACCTTGTATGTTGGTCTTGTGGTGAATGTCATTCCAGGTGATGACATTGTTTAGGCCTGTGGTGACTGATCTTCCAACTGTGAAGATGAGTCTCCTGTCGAAGGCCTTCCTCAGCAGCCTAAGGACTTTTTCACCCTCCTCACAGGCTGGCAAAAAGGCCGTACGAGAGGTTGTGCTGTACCTCACCCCAGGGTTTGGGTGCTCGGGCTGTAATATTATAAACACAGGCTTTAATGCAACATACACTGATATATTATTGTTTCCATTTGAGAGAATTGTTACATCCACTTAAAATTCTCCCTTACAGAGTACAGGTTTTCACACCGAGATGATTTATATTATGAGATGATATCCATATTCTTGATGAGGATGTGGCAAATACTCTGAAATATAACATTAGGATAGATTTTTGGATTTGTCCTCACAATGGCATTTGGTGAGAAAAGGCTAACTCTGCTGCAAGGAGGCAGATTTCAGCTACAGCTGACAGAGTTTCTCTTTCTGAAATCCTCCTGATGCCAAGAAAAGCATTCCCACATACAAGAGACACATCAGAAGATTTAAGACGCCTTCGGTGTTACACAACATCCAAAAATATAACCTCTCTCCCGCTGTCCCTCTCCTACCCACACATTTCTTCACCTCATATTGTGACCTGTAGAAAATGTTATATTCTGGCATCTTCCTTGTTTTGAGCGCATTCACCTTGAAGATAGATTCATTTTAACCCACTTTTCCCAGCAAACCCTGAAAATGCATCGATGGCATGGATTTTTGTGCTCTATTTGAGTCATATGCACATACAAAAACACCATGCTGTTCTTGCCACTGTAGCAATGTGGACTGCTTTCTCATACATGACAGTATGTTCAAAATCTGGTTACAAAATTGTTGTTTCACTGCATAAATCTGTTCACTATAGGGGGAGGATAAGGCATTCATTCAACATATTGACTGGGGAAAATGTACTGGCATCAACTAAAATATTTTTTTAATCTGCCATGTCAAGAGTAAGAATTAGTGGTTTTTCTACATTTGACATCATTGAAACTGATTATTTTATCAGTTTTTGCCCCAGAGAACATTTATCTAGTAATATGAATTTGACAGCCTGCCATCTATGTAAATATTAAAAAAAAAAACACATTTGTCAACCATCAGTTTGATCAGCCTATCTTAATGACCAAATAACTATGGCATTTGTCGCTTTAACACTGTTTCTATGGCAACTGGTGGACGTAAACTACCTCGCGTCTATAGGAAAACATGGTTTCATATAGGCTACACTTTTTTTTGTTGCAGATCAGAAGTCTTTCTACAACAAACTAGACCTACTAAACAAGAGAAAAAAATGTATTTAGAAGTATTACGGTAAGGTGGTCAGCCAAACTGGTGTATATTCCATTAAAACACCAGTTTGGTTGACCACCTTCCCTTACATAACCTGTGTATTGTGTCTGTGCTGTGATGAGGAATTATCATACACAAACAGCGCCCTCTTGTGTGGTGGACGCTATTATAAGCAATAGACAGTATGTAAACAGCCCACTCATTGGGTGTCTATATTGAGTTATAAATGTTGGCCTCACCCCTTGTATCCCTGCTGGGAAGTTATATTGAATGACCAAAGTTTCACAGTGTTCGTAACCGGGCAGACGCTGCCAGCTACGGTCCACTGTCATCGTACCCTCCGGCTGGTTTCCCGTGTACTTCCCGAAGTAGGTGTTGCAAATCGGACAAGCGGGTTTAAACTTGAAAAGCGAGTCGATACACTCCGAGCAAAACGAGTGAAAGCACTTTAACGATTTCTTGCCTTGAATTTTGTCCAAGCAAATGGCACATTCCTCTGTACATTCAGGAAGTACACCGTCTTTTAGTATTGTTTCCATTCTTCCCCGGTATGTGAGGGCAAATGTACCTAGCTTAGGCTCTAAGGATATAGTGTTAGAAGGTTTTGACTCAGTATGATGTCACGGGAAGAAAGTACCAGTTCAGTTTCACCTTTCTCATTCAAGGAAGTGATGCCAACTCTGACCTCTGATTGGTTGAAATGTGAGACATTGCCTATTCATGGCTAAGACTTGCTGCATTCAGGTCCAGCTCGGATGACATCAGACTGTGGTGTGTTTACGTGCCTTCAAGTCAGGTCTAGAGTATAATATTACCTGACTGCATGATCTAGGTTGAATGCTGGTGGATTGGTCTACTAAGACATTGTTCTAGTTGACTTTTTATGAAGTGTTAAGTAACATATTTACTCAAAATAGCCTACTTGTTAAAAATGATGTGAGGGATTTCAAGTTCATTCAATATAACAAGACATATTTTGACACACTTATGACCGGACATCCTAGGTCTGGACTGCAAGTCGAGCACCAAATTCTTGCCCGAGTTAGACGATCGTGCATTTTCTTACACTAAAACTCTTGTAATATGTACGACACCACATGAATGCACCATGTAGCTGATTTTTTTTTCTTACTTCCAAGCTACAAATAAAAGTTGTGAATTGTAAGGAAACAATAAACCGTTTAGTTACTACAGCCTGTAGAGATTTTTCAGTGTTTAAACCTAAGTTTATTCGTGAGTCTAAGTTTGTTTTCCCAAATGCAGTCTACTCTCCATATCATAGTTACAAATTACAAATCTGCATATAGACAGTCACTGTTACATGATATTTTTTCCCTTTTTTTTCTGAATGTCTTTTTTTTACAGTGAAAGTGTCAGATCCGGTTGCATAATGAGACTGTTGTAATAATAAAGAACCTGCGCTCAAAATGTATGGCACTACACCAGAAACATTAGTTCCTACAGCTGCCAGTCAAATAACAAATAAGGTTGTCAAGGGTCAAATTGATTTTTTTCTGCCTCTCGAAAACTGCTTATATAATCATTCGGCAAACAATAGGTCCAAAGTCAGAGAGCTGCTGGCAGTTCAGTATTTCTTTGATTGATTACATACGTGAGTGACTCAAGACGAAACTTGACTTTCTTGAAGACTATTTGATGTATATTAATGGTTTTAAAAGAAGTAGAGAATGGCAGGGAAAATGGATTGATATATATATATAGCCTAATATGCATTCCTATGTTTGAATCAAAACCAAGGAATTGTGGTTTGTGTTGTAATCAATTCACTAACTGTAACCTTGGACAGACCTTTACAATGTTTTCAGCCATTACTGAGGGTATTTCTCTTTGAAAATTAAGTTGTGTTTCTGAGGGTCTTGTCACTCTGCAGTCTTTGTGTTTTCCACTAGATGGCACAAAATGCTTTAACACTCCAGTTAAATGTCTTGGTGTGACATGCACGTACTACAGAAAATGAAAGGTGAAGACATTTATATTTGTGAGAGGGAGTCCACAATCCCAACTCATTTCATATGGACACAAGTTTGATATTCAATTGCTTATCTTGCACCTGGTTTATTTGGAGCATCCATTAAATATCCAACACAAACCTAAACATAACTTTTTATTCAAGTATTAAAATGTAAAGCACATTATTCTGAATATCAACAAAGTACCAACAACACAATTAGAAAAGCAAAACTCTAACTTTTCCTTAACAATCAGTTTTGTTGTATGTTTAAACTCGCCAACTTTCAGTTCTCTTGGCCCCCCTCCAAGACGTGTATGCATAGAAATGTTTGCACAGTAGCTTTAGAAAACTACAATCCTGTGTCCCAAAAAATGTGTCAGTTGGTCCCTTAACTAAAATACAAAGGTCATGGAAGGATCGTAATAGGGTATGTCATGTAGGTATCTGACCAGTCAAATCAATGACAAATCTGCACTAGCTAAGCAGGTTACTGCACTTAACAAAGCACTTTGTCAGAACAGCTTTGACAATTTCTTCTTCTTTTGGGTGTTCAGCATTTGCAGCTTAAGAATGGTAAACAAGGAGAAGCTATTTTCATATAGTTATTCACGATTCAATTAACTGTTTAGTACTTAAAGTAGTATGGCAACAAACATGATGCTTTTACCTATCGAATAACACCAAAATATGCCCAAACTGCTAACCACTCTTTAGTCATGTCATGCTTGATTTTTATCAAAAGTAAATATAAGAAAGGCACAACAAAATGAGATTAAATCCCCATCCTAAATCTGATCAGTTTTTCCTTCAGCATTTTCTTCTGTTTTCTTTTCACTGTGCAATGTTGATTATCATTTCAGATAACAAATTTACAACAGTTAGCTCATTTTGAATGAGAACATTAGCAGGCTAATCTCCTAGTTTGACAGGAACAGAGGCATAGATATTCCAAGAGCGTTTGTGCCTTTGATTTGGTTTAAGTGGTCTGTATGCCCTTTGTATTTGACATCGTCATAAATCTGGTAATTAGAGGAGCACATTACTAAGAACTGAGGTAATGAGCTCGACACCTGGGAGACATCTTAAAATTACAGGAGTGACGATAGTCGAACGAAAACCCCAGGGAAAGTCATAACGAGTACAGTAAAGGTGCTGCAATCAGACACTGGTAAACATTCGCCCTATTTCAGTAAAGGTTATGGGGGGCGGGATTGAACATCAATGCAAATGAAGAGTTTCAAGTGACATCAACTTGTAGCCACAGAGTTAATTGCTGATGGCTGCACAAACCTGTTTACCGCGAACACTCTTCCAAAAGGGACACGAAAAAAAATCGTACCAAAGTGCCACTGAGTGCTTAAGATTGCAGAAACTTCAGGAGATGATTTTTTTTTCTTTTGAAGCCTATATAACCCAGATACTATGCTTACTACAGGTAATTAGTAACATTTAAATTAGAGACTCAATAACTCAACAAACATTTCTGAGGAGGTGAAAGCAATAATGTGTGCTTATAAGAAACAATAGAATCCCCAGAGTACAAATAAACATGATAATAACATAATCTGCCTTAATAACATTAAACTTAGAAATCCTAAATTATGATATTTAAGTACCATGAGTTCACACACACCATGATGCTCGTAAGGGAACGTATCACATATCTGTCCTATTGCAAAAAGCAATGGGAAGAGGATTGTGCAACACAAGAATGCACAGCTCTCAGAGTATTGTCTTCCACATGTAGCATTGGGTTAGGTTGAACTCTTGAGGAAAAAGAAAATGAACAAACAGAGGAAAAAGTTCTGAAGTGAGGTGGACTCTGCAGCATTTAACGCCTGTCTGCTGAGGGCTTTGTCTTCAGACATCCTTTAAAGGACGGGCAGTCTCCAAGAACAACCTCGGGCTGAGTCCTGTCCACTACAAGGGCACTCAGGTAGTCTTACAAAGACTTGGAAGAGTCTGCTGTTTTCATGCTGTCAGTCAGCCGTGATGCCTTTCTCTCTGAGCTCCTCTGTCACTCGCACCAAGTAGGTAGGGTCTGGGTAGCCAAAACTGTCAGGAGGAATTAAAAACAGCCGTCAGTGCTTCTGCATCAGCTCACAAGTCAAGAAGCTTGCCATAAGCCAAGGAAATCAGCTGATAACAATTCCTTACCATGAAATTAAATCTAACATCTCCGTTATTGACTATATTAAAAGACAGTGAAAGTGAAGTCAAAACATTGAAACCACCCTCCACCCTCCTGCAGACTAGCTTCAGTCATTTCCCCGATGTTTACAGATGAGACATTGGTAGGATTAAAACACAGGTTAGATCATTTTTCTCTAAAATGAATTCTGTTTATTTTTTAAGCTGATTTATGCCACATTGAACAGGAAAGTTAATTCTCTCTATGTTGTCAAATCCTGACATTACTGACAGCTCTGTTGACTAATGTTGTTGTTGTTGTTGTTTTCTGGTCAGCAGAAAGGGAAGACATCAACACTTCAGCTCCAATAGCCTATCCCTTCTTGAGGGTCACTTGTCTTTCCAAACCCCTCCTCTCTGCTAACTCATCTCTGAGGAAACTATCAAAAGCCATCATCAAATCAAAGCCTGTGGACAAAAGGCTGTACATACCAGCGAGGCCCTCCCCATATTGAGGTCTTATGGTGAATGTCATTCCAGGTGATGACATTTTGCATGCCCGTAGTCATGGAGGTACCGATGGTGAAGATAAGGCGCTGTTCGAAGGCCCGGCGCAGCAAGCCCAGCACTCGGTTACCCTCAGGGCTGTCAGGGAGGTAGGCCACACGGTCTGTTCCAGGGTACCGAACCCCAGGGTTGGGATGCTCTGGCTATTGAGGAAAAAAGGCATTGAAAGAGGTTTAGAATAAAGAAGTGTTTCTGAAAATAAAACACCTCTCTTCCTGTTGGTGTCTGAGACTCGGCTCTACGTCCCTAGTAGAGCTGATCCTCACCATTTTTCCAACTAGGGAGACAATAAAAGTAGGCTTAGATCCTGAAGTCTATAAATAAAAACAAGCTGCTGCTTTCCTTGGAAATGGAACCCCAGCCTTCTGCACACCTGTCAGTTTACAGAACATGTTGGAGAGCACCACTGAGCCTGAGGAAAAAAGTCTCGGTGAAATCTGAGAAAAAGTATTCATCTGAGATTGTGTCTGTCTGGACAACAAATCTATATTAAAAATGTCCTTAACAACCCAGGACATGGAATTTAAAGGTGATGGCTTAAATCAGACAGCGGCTTAGAAAAGTTATCACTGTTTCTATCATAAAATATGACAAATAATTTAAAATCCATAAATTGGACTAAATCCATGCCAGAGTCAATATTCATTTAAAATCTTTTGGGAGGACATGGTCTGGATATTGCTCAGAGTGACTTATTGGATATGCAGCAAAGAGCAGACAGTTGACTGTATCTGACTAATTTTACTAGCTGTAAATTGGACGATAAAGAGGGGTCCTGGTTTGTAATGATAACTTCTTTCATTATGATATCTGTGCAACAGAAATTAACAAATTCGAGAATGAAATGATCTACAGGAAAGCAGAATCAAGAGCATCAGCTCCCCTCAAAATCAAGATGTTAACACACCCACCCCCTCTGCATGTTAATACTTTGTGTTCACACTTTAGTCTGGTATTAAACAGACTTTGTAGAGGGTGCTGACAGCACACAGTTTGTTTTATGATTGGTCAAACATACTAAGGAATCTGGATTTCATATGCTGTTCCTCCAGGTCTTGTCCAGATAAGTCCAGAAAACTGACTTTGAATAAAACCTCCTTTCTCAGAGACTCAATCCAGCCTTTTTTAGTTAAAATTTGCATACATACACAGAATAGTTAGATATATATGTACGTAATTTTTTTACAATAATGTTAATAGGGGAGATTTTGTTTGCTAATTGCAAAGGTAGGCTGTGTTCACTGTGGTAGTAAAACTATCACAAAAGCCTAGGGCTGAAGCTCATTTGATTATCTGCACTGCCATTAACTGTTATTCAAAGTTTGATACTTCCTTGCGAGGGCAAACATCCTTTACGTACAGTATAGAATAAAATCTGATGTCTGTGCGATAAAACTCTCTAAGTAATCTGAGAGAGACACTGATTCAGATTCTGTGTTTTACAATTTTCAGCAAGTTTATACTGAGGTTTGAGTAAACAGCAGCAGAAGATAATAATCAACGGAAAAAGACCCACATTTTGGTCAAGGATAGAAAATACATTTCCTATCAAGAAAAAATCAAGCAAATTCTCTGGACAATTAAAAAAAAACATTGTTTCAGGAAGTATCACCTACAAAACTCATTATAAAGTAGTTTAACTACAAACTAGTCTCTTTTGCTGTTTTTTTTTTTTTTGTCTTCTATGTAATGATAATATTGTACCATTAGTCTAGAGAAACTGTATTTTATCTCATAGATGGTTATCAATAGGGCAAGTACTCATCCATTAACACAGAGTGGCCCTTACTGAGTGTGTACTTACCGCCTGCAGGCCGGGAGGGAAACTGTAGATGATGCAGATACATCCAAAGCCTTCATGGCCTGGAAGCTCCAGATCAGGATCTCGTTCTACAATCATTGTACCATTAGCAGGCTGGTTCCCAATCAACTGGCCATACACCAGTCGACACACAGGACAAGCTTTCTTCACCTTAAAGGCTTGATCCAGGCAGGAGCGACAGAATGAATGACCACATTTCTCCAGGGTGGTTTTCTCAACGATGTCCCCCATGCAGATAGAACAAGTTTTGGTGTCCTCTCCCTCACCATGGGTAGCCAAGCTGGAGTCCATATCCTTTCTCTGTGCTGCCTCGTGGAGCATGACACAGGCCTCCTCATCAGCAGGCTTTCTGAGCCTTTGCTGCTGTCTCTGGGAGCGTCGGGGCTGGGGAGGCGGAGGCTGGAGCAAGCTCCCCTCTCCATTGGGCTCCAAGACTCCCACGCAAGGTAGCAGAGCCCTCTTCCTTTTGGGTCCCCCCTCCAGTTTGCTCATTTCTTTGCGGGCACAGCGGCATAAGTCAATGAAGGCTTTTCGTGTCTCACTGGAGATGGCCCCATCCATCAGACCAGCTCCAGCACTCCTGGAACCTTCCACCGGCTGCAGCCTCACAGCACAGCAGCCCCCCCTTTCTCCACGCCTAACGATACCAGCGCTCATCCCCTGCTTGTGCTGGAAGTCAATGAGCCAGGGCCGCCCAGCTGCAGCCAGGTAATCCCACACAGCCTGTGAAACCAGCACCTCATCACTGCCCTGGCCAGCACGCACACTCATCTCATCAGAAGAGACTGCACAGAGAGGCACACAAAAGTCATCAGCATGTTAGTTCATGAGCAAAGGCAGATCAACACAACTACTTCTGTGAACATAAATCAAGTTGAAGAAGTTGTCCCAGTTAATCAAACCCTCATATCACTATTCAAAATGCTTTACACCGCTTGGACGAGGCTACAGCATTGTTTTCTTCTCTTATAGGCTGTTGTGGTGATTCTTTGATTTTTAAGGTAGCCTATTTGATAACTAAATGCAAAAAAACAACATGACACCTATTTCTGTTTATTTCTGCATGCAAATTGGATGGTAGGCAATATGGTACAAATGAAATATCATTTTAAAAAAACTACATTTAAAGCTATTTGCAGCGGCTGCAGCACGTCAAAACACACACGCACACACAGACACACAACAGGCAGCACAACGGCTTAGCAGAGGATGTATCAGCTGTTCAAAGATTCAGACTGTAAACAAAGGGAACTAAACGCCGTAATACGCAGACAACACGAAAAACAACTGACAGGCACATGCTGAAACAAAAGTGACACATCTTGAGGTGAAAATGTTACCTTGTGATCCCATAAATCCCTTGAATTGCGAATAAAGCGTCCTATTGAACAGAAAAGAGAGGAGGAAACACTAAAGGACTGGGACACACGCTATCACAGCTGCTCGGTGGTGGTATTTTGACTGAGCCATACTGAGCAGCGGCAGAGGGAAATTCTGCGATAACGCAACATTAGCTTAGCATTTTAAGGTTTCTCGTCAGCATTGAGCAAAAGTGGTTTTTCCCCATGTTTACTTCAGTACCTCACCCTTTACCGTAGCTCGTCGCTGCCTGTCGGGGAGGTTTCTGGCTGGATTAAAGAGCCATCAGAGGAGGCCTTTATTTCTGACGTGCTGCTGCAGTTTATCCGCAGATAATCAGTCTTTTGTAGTCAGGACATGGTATCCAAACGTAGTCCCAGCTCATGTGTCTTTAGGATTTTAACAGTCCTCTCCTAGCCTTGGGAAATGCCATCCAAAGCCTCCACCTCGTCCCCAGACTCGCTTGTGTTTGCCTTCTTCGTACGTCCTTGGGCTAGGCGTAACACTGAGTAAATAGCATTTCTCTTCTTATCAGGCTCCCACCACGTTAGCTGGGTGACACTTTTCTCCAGGCAGATGCTTTGCTCTTTCGTGTCATTATCAGTCTCCTCTTTCAAGCCTTGTCCTTCTTAGTTACCGAGGAAGAAGCAAACATAACCATTAATAAGAGGACTGACTGGGACCTACGAGAAAATGTGACCAGGAAGTTCGTCACAGGGCTGACATGATTGGCTTAAAATATGGTGGTTTGTGTCTGTTTTTTTCTTTCTTTCGTGCAGTGAGTGAATCATACTTTTTGTCGTGTTTATGGGCTCTCATGATAACGCAACGCAATGCTTTAAACGCGGAAAGTACACACAAGTGTTCAGCCCACGAGCTGTCGAGGGAATACCCACTCATTCAGTTATAATAATGCAAATGAAGCTGTCTCTGAGGGTACCTGGATTTACAGAGCGGTAACTGTGAAGGCTTTTGACAGAAAACATTAAAGAATACACAAAACTGAATAATAACGATAAACATTATTTTTTATTAAAATAATAATAATAATAATAATAATAATAATAATAATAATAATAATAATAATAATAATTATTATTATTATTATTATTATTATTATTATTATTATTATTATTATCATGCACACAATATAGATGCCTCATTATCAAATTGCCTGTTATTGTTGTCATCACTTGATATCATTATCTATCTATCTATCTATCTATCTATCTATCTATCTATCTATCTATCTATCTATCTATCTATCTATGAATTTCATAGATAAATACATTAGCATATATATTCGTTATTGTTTCTATATCCATGTATTTGTTTTGGCCCCCAGCTCTCGAATCTGACATTGAAAGATGATTTTGACAAAAACTTATATTCACAAAATGACCCCTCATTAATCTCATCAACAGAGTGATTTTTCCATATGTCAAAAATGTAGATCTCCAGAAGGTTTGTGGTCTATTCATACCAACATGTCCACACAGACTTCTGCAAGGCTCAACAAAGAACAACAAAATAAGGTCTGGATAACTATTTGTCCAATTCATTTTCCTTTTTTAAAATATTTTTTTTCTCTTATTATACAGTTTGTAATACTTATTTTTTTTTCATCACAGTGTATCTTCTGAAATCTTAAAAAATTGTGAAATAAAAGACTTAAACAAGCCAGTAAAGTCAGGCCTGCTGTGTGGTGGAAAAGTCTACTGTATTTCAATCAAATTCCTCTAGGTTTTAACCCTACGCAGGGATCTTCACATGGGAGGAACGAAAACTTTTTCGTACTTTTCATCTGAACCTACTCTTTACAAGATATATATGTATTAAACGGTTAAATGCAATCATCCAAGAAGTCAGGGAAAGCACAAGGTCCGGTGCAGCAAGAGAGCAGGGTTAAGGCAAGGTCAGTACAGAGTTGAGGAAATGTGGACGGAGGACGTGGAGAGAGTGGAGGGAGGAGGCAAAGAGAGAGCAGAAGAACTATATAGAATAAGAAAAGGCAGCAACCTCAGAGGGTAGCTTTTATTTTAGCCACTTTGAAAAAAATAATTTGATTATACTCTGAGTATAAAGGTGATGCTATTATTGACCAGAAAATATGTCCATGTGTCAAGAAAGAACTACAAAGTTACTACAAAAGTTATGACAAGACTAAAAAGAAGACTGGTCTATCGAAACTGAAATAGAGTGTGCTTCTCTGTGCCTTCCTGTATATATGCTGATGTGAAAAATATTTGATGCGGGTAAAAATAATAAAATACTTCTGATGTTGCAGAGACATATCATGCTGTCTCTCTTGTTGTTCCCAATTCTATCTTTTCAGGGTGTTACACAGAGTTACAGTTCTTTAAAGCATTTAATTAGTTGTAAATGCATTTAATGTATATTGGGCTGTGGTGGTAGGGCCCTGAATTTCTAGTGACACCCCAGATGAGACAGTCACAGTGTCCCTCGGACTTTTAAGCTGAGTGTATTGATGCAGCATCTGTTAATGAGGCAGCTAAGAAGCAAGCTGCAAATGAAGATGTTTTGGCTTCCAGCTCTGGGTTTGAGTATGCCTCTATAGAGACAACAAGCCAGGGTCCTGCTTTCCATTATCTCCAAATGTGAACAACTGACTGCCCCTGTGCAGTACCCATGACACTTTCAAAGTACATTTTCATTGATTAGCTGCTGTATTCTTATCTTAATTATCTGCAGAGAGGTCTGAAGGGTCAGATGAAAATCCAAAGGCCACTTAATGAGTCAGCATTATATGTAGGCTCCAGTACGTAGTGCATTATAGATCTACTCGTACACCTCTTCACTCAAATCAACATGCAGGCTACTTTTTTTTTTTTAATAACAGAACTCTCAAATAGCTTAACAGTTAATGACATAAAAGGTTAATATCAAGGATGGAAAGGGTACTCAAATATTCTTTCTAAGTAAGAGTCCAGTAACTTTTATAACAGTTTAATAAAGCAGAAGTACAACTACTGGTCTGTAATTCTACTAAAGTAAAATTGAAATTACTCCATTAAAAAAAATGCATCTTAATGAGTTACTTTCTTTAAACCCATAGTGGTGAAAGGTGTGGAACATGCTCCCAGTTATGTAGAACAAATGGCATTTAGATCTGATTTTTGACTCTGCAACCATACAGGGTGTAGCCTTTGCATGCTCAATTCATGGTTGGCTGAGTACAGAGACTTATTATATGAGCTAAATACAAGGAATGAATTGACTAGTATGTAAAAATGGCACAAAATTAAATGGAGAAAAAGTTATTTGATCAAAGAAGCTATGAGTTGAATTATTCTAAATGTAAGATAGATAGATAGATAGATAGATAGATAGATAGATAGATAGATAGATAGATAGATAGATAGATAGATTAGACCAAGTCACTGCATAAGATTTGAGTTTTTGCAGTATAGACAAGACATAACCAGTCAGATGGATGACATGTACTTGACAGGTTACTTTATTTTACCTCTCACAAACCGATGAAATGTTTAATGTAATGAGAAATAGTACTTCCTATAAAATATGCTTAATAGTTAAAGTCCTGATATAAAAACTAGACCAAAATATAAACCAAAAAAGGCTGTATAATGACGGTTATTTGAGCACAAGTGGTTGGTTACTTTACCCCCTGATAACAATCCAATAAAAGAATACTACCCAAACCAAACACGCAATGGCCAGCGTTTTTCAGTTTTATATTTTCCAGTTCTTTCCATTTTGGGTTATGTTTCGACCAAACAGTGAGTGGTTTTGCATTTCAGATTAACTTTGAAATAAAGGACTACTTCCATGGGTGTCTCAGATTGACATTGTCTTAATCAAGAAGTGCTTGTTTTCCTGATTTTATACCGAGCACGCTCACTGATGGTGGAGCTCTCGCGCTACTCCTAAGCAGATAGCGAAAGTACATTCTAGAACGGCTGCAGCTGACGGGCGACCGGCGCTCGTGCTCAAAACTAGCGTATGAAACCCGTACGTCACGAGAGAGGCAGGAAAAAACGCGATACTTGGAGATCCAGAAGTGTATCTGTTGCTAACGTTAGTTAACTGTTTAGGTCTCAGCGTACAGATTCACCGGGCACTATAGCTAGATAATACTTTTATCTATATCGGGGTCCGAGGAAGGGAAGCAAATTAATAAAACAGTGGAAATGTAAGTCTTCAGTTTACTATTTCATCATTACACAGTCAGTGGGTCGCGGTTGTATGGCGCACAGCGGTTCAACTAGCTAACATTGGCTAACTATGCTAAGCACACGAGTTAGCTGCAGCGGTGCAGTCATAACTTAATAAACCTTGGGGATTGCTGTGACTAAAAGTCGCATCATATTTTCACCTCTACAGATGGTCAGATTTCCTTCAGTGTATTTCAATATTACAGCACTGTATCCAGTAACTGGACGGACTTTCAGTTAGTTTTGTTTACGCGCCTGATGACAGTTCAGTTATGTTAGCTAGCAAGCTAATGTCAGGCAACACAAGGGTAACGTGAACGTTAGCAGAGAGGAAAAACCTGGTGTCATCATCGATCTTACCGAAGCTAACACAAGCTAACAGGCTCAAAAGCGATAGCAGTTCGTATATGAATAAACTGTCTTCAGTTACATACCCTAACTTAAAAATACTTATCGAAAAGTCTGTAAACGCAGCATTAATCCGCTCCAAGTGAGGACTGAAACCTGAGTGCAGCTGTGCTTGGTGTACGTTATCCACTATGAAGTAAACAGGCACACCATTTTGATCAGAAGGCCACCCTTCAGCTTTTTTCTGGACATAAGTCATCACTTTAAAGCGATAAATGTTACCCATGCCAACTTAGAGTGAATGAATGAAGCCTTCGTCAACATGGTTCAAACGTGACCTCAAATGCACTGCACGGCAAACACGTGGGTCACTAGAGCAGATCACCCATCACGGGCTGGGAAGCTGATATGCTATTGGTTTAACAATTGGGACACTTATAAAGACTAACCATGTCTGTTTAAAGAAAATTGTCTACAAAGATGGTTATTGAATGATGTATGTTACGTCTGTTTTTTGTCATCAGGCAGCCTGCAACAGCCAAGTGGTATGACAGAAGAGACTCTGTCTTTGTAGAGTTCTGCGTGGAGGACAGTAAAGATGTGCAGGTCATCTTTGACTCAGCAAAATTAGCTTTCAGGTAGGTTGCACTGGAGCATATTAAACTGTCTTATTTTAAGAGTTTAAAAAAAACTGTGTTGTTGTATTTTTAGAGGCTTAATTTTCCACAGTACTCAGAGAAAAGATGTGCTTAATCTGAGATTGTACAGAGGCCCACAGTATCCCTCAATGTGCCCACTACACCATATGCCAGCAGTCATATGCAGGGGGGTTTTGCATTATGTCACTGGGCAGTAGATAAGCATTAGTAATTTGTTACCAGTAAACCACTTATTTTTTATTTTATTTTTTTATGTGTGTGTGTGTAAAAAAAATTGTATTTGACTATGTATATGCGATATAGTGACCTCAATGTTTGTTTTCCTTGTTTGTCTATCATTTGTTGAAGAAGTATGGTTATTTAGTACCTTAGTTATAACTTTAAAGTGAATCAGTCAGCCAGAGTAGTTGAGGGCAGACACACTGCAATCCTACATCATGGTAACCAGCCTTTCAGGAAATACTTGAAATGGTCTCAGCTTTTTTATTGGCATATTTATGATGGGCAGTGGCGCTGAGCTGCTTTTGATGCAGGATCATAGTTCATATGCAACCAGTTGCTCTCCTGGCTACAGAACTGAGATTGACATTTAGAAAAGTGTTACACTAGGGATGAAAAAAAATTACAAGAGGGAGATTTTTTTATTAAGCCCTTCCAGAAAAAAATGAAATGTTGAGAATGGAGTTGAAGTTTTGAGAGAAAAAAAAAAAAAAATTGAGCATTGAGAAAAAGGTCATGGTAGGTCAGTGTAGATGTCCCAATTCAGCATAAAACTGTTCCCAGGTCAAACCTGCTACTATGTATTGTATTGTATTGCATTATATTGTGTTGTATTGTAAACATGCCACAGTGCTTCACTGGTTTATTTATGAAATGTTGATTATTTCAGTTGCATTCCTAAATGACTGAGAACAAATATAGGTTAATCCGCTTTTCAATTTATAAAAAGTGCTAACTTTATTATTTAACAAAAATGCAACTAAAAAGGACACCAAATGAAGGGTACTTTTATTTAATGTGTTGGTTTAATTGTTATTAGCCCATATTAGCTGAGGTAGCATCTTGTGCTAATTTAAACCCTTCTAGTTTGGGATGACAGTCTGCACAGTTACTACATACCTACCATTTGTTTTGATAATCGATTGGTTTTTATTTAGTGAACTAACACAATGAGCAGGGAAAGGCAAGTGTTGACAACCCAGTGACCCAGTGACCCAGAAACAGTTGTATAAGGTAGTGATGGCACCCCTTAGCTTCTTTCATGAAAGCTTTCTGATTTATTTGATCTTTTCTCTGAGGTTTTAACTTAATTCAGGACATTAACACTTTTTTTTCTGAAGTGCATCATTTAAAAATAAGTAAATAATAATTCCCTCCAATTATTTTTTTCTCATCCCTGGCACCAAAAGACTTCCATTCAAACAGATCAGCTGAGGCTAACTCACTTTTATGTCATCACACAGGTACCAAATAACCATACTTTCAGTGCATATGAAAAACACATTAGACATTTCTTTATATTTTAACACAACAATGCGTCTACATTGTCATTAAATGAATATGTTAGCTGTGGCATGCGGGTCTAAAGCCAAGTGACATAGTGCAGAACCACTGGCATCTTCTGCTAAACGACCAGCACATACCTCGACTCATTGGAATATGCTGTGCTTACCTTGTGGCATGCTATAGGCCACAAAAGTGTGCTTTTTGGAGACGAGGCCAAGCTTCTTGCAATGAAGAAGAAATGACGCAATACAAATAACACCTTGTTTTTGACTTGTTGAAAGTTATACAGAAAACATCATGACCTCTTTTCTCCCCATGTTACAGTTGTTTGAATGGAACAGATAATAACAAACTCCAGAATTCAGTGGATCTTTTCGGGGAGATTGATATCAAAGTAAGTGTCTCACCCATAGACATGGTAAGTGTTTTATCATGAGTTTTATTCCTTCATAGTCTCAATCTGTGTCGCTCTTTGTTCTTTTAAGGCATCGAAACACAGACGCACTGACAGGTCTGTGCTGTGTTGTTTACGAAAAGCAGAGGCTGGGAAATCATGGCCGCGACTTACCAAAGACAAGACAAAGGTAACTCTTTTCTTCTGAAAAGGTTTAGAAATTCATATGTCAGTCACTCAGCAGTTAGCTGTCTAATCTGACCAAGTTCCACATTAAAATAGTTTTAACCAAAATATTAAATATTATAAAGTTAAATTAACATGTAGATAAATTGCCCTACTTTAATGCTTGAATCCATCTTATCTCAGTGCAACTGGCTGAGTGTGGATTTCAATAACTGGAAAGACTGGGAAGATGATTCAGATGAGGACTTGTCAAGCTTTGACAAATTCTCAGAGGTAAGACTCCCAAATATGCCTAATGTGTGTGTCTGCCCTAATATCTGTAGTGCTGACATGTTGGCTCTGTGCATTTCTCCAGATGATGAACAGCATGGGAGGAGATGATCTACCTGATTTAGATGGTGCAGATGAAGAGGTTTGTGTTTTAAAATATATGAACTGCTTTTTGAGTAGGATTAACATCATCTTTTAAGAGAAGAAATTCAAACCAGGTCATGAAGAATTTAAATTGTTTTTCTTGTTTTGTAGCGTGACTCGGCAGACAGTGATGATGAAAGTAAGTAATTTTTGATCAGTGAAAGAAAAGATTATAAGTGGTCAATTTTTATTTGATTTCACAGTGACCTTACAGTAGCTATGCATTCGTCAATGTGCTTCAGTCTCACCACGTTCTCATGTTTTTGCTCTCCAGAAATGCCTGACCTTGAGTAGGTGAATACAGATGCCACCTCAGTAGTACAAAGCAAGTTTAACGTCAGTTGAAGAGAGACTAGACATGAGATGGCAGCCATGTTGGAGAAGAAACCTAATCCCTCTGCGCAGTTTCCAAAGCGAAACCCTTCAAGGGAGTGACAGGGAGTGACCGTCGGATACAGACATGCACAGAGAACCATAGAGACGTACAGTGCTGTGCTTTGCTGTTCTGTTCTGCATGGACTATTCTGTTCAAATGAAAATGTTAATGTTCATTGACTTAAATGACTGTAATGGGATGTGCTGATGTCTTACACCTTCTGTGTCTCTCTCTCTCTGTTTTATTTTATTTTATCTTTTCTTTTTGCAATGTCAGATTATGTATTGAACATTGTGATTTCTAATTAGAAAAAATTCAAATTGCCTATTTTCCAAAAAAGTAGATTTTTTAATGACAGATTTTCCCCTTTAATGTTTGTATTGTAAAATTGCCCTTATTATTTTTTTTTGTTAATTTAAAAAGCAGGATTTATGCTAAAAATGGGGTTTTCAATGTACACCAACATCTACAAATATTTAACAATAATTTCTTTTTTTTTTTTTTCAACATATTCCAGCATTTGAAATAAACAGACATGCTTGTGCAATTTACAGCTTGCATTGAGATTGTGGAAGGAGAGCGTGAAACCTGCATATAGTAAAACCTCTGCAAATGTTGAGTTTCTGACTGAAACATTGCACACCTGAGCAGGTATAAAAGTGTGATATCTTCCAGGGGTGGAGACAGAAATGTTTATTCTACTGAAAGTTCCCAAGTAATTAACATTTTATTAATGTTTGTCTCTAGAAATATGCTTTGAAGGCTCGTGTGCTAAATGCAACACAAACACTTTTAAATTTGTCTAATTCTGTTGGAGTTTGGGTAAACATTTCTAATAAACAGTTTGAAGGGTTGAGTACACGGCTTTGTTTCAAAATGTGAATTGTTCAAAAACTGTTTAAATCAATATAGTTCGGAGAGAGTCCAAAGAAATACCTCTTTATTTATCATGAACATAGGGGGGAAAAAAGAGTGGTGTACTTGAATCTTTGTGTGACGGAAGCATCACAGAAATGATAATGCCAACAATACAAGGACCTGCAATTAAAGTCTCACCAAAGAGAAAAAGAACAACATTAATTGGTGGACAAATTATTCAAGTATTAACCATCTTTACTAAACTGTTAAAATTAAATTCTGGATTAATGCTGATTATTTTGTGTCACTAGGCAGTTTTTTCATCTCTACAACTTCCCTGGAAATCTACAAAGTAGTCTCAATAGCAAGTATTTTGCCAAGTATTGACTAAAGTCACAAATATTGCACAGGGAGTGCAGTATCTCACTTGGGAGTGGAGTACAGCTGAAATGTGAGGTAGCAGAAAATGCAAATTCATCAATAACATCTAAATACCACAAATTGTATTCAGAGTTCTTAAGTATATCAAGAAATCTATCTACCAAAGTTTACTTTTTGAAGTCTGTCCTTGTAAGAATGCTGACCTGCCCTTACCTTCACTACTACTATATTATACTGTACACAAGAGAGTCCAAGCTACAACCATTTATATGTTCCATGTCAGAGGAGACCAAAATTTTAACTCGCTCAATGAATAAAACAAACCAGTAACAGTTCCCCCTGACAACAGTTTCTGTTCCAGGTCAGCAATAGAAACCCAGAGAAAGAGACCAACCTCTTCTCAGCTCAGCCAAGCCTGATCCTAGCTTTGGTTCTCATCTGTCTGTCAGGGGTATGCTGTCTCTTATGGAGGAATTCCAAAGTAGTGAGTCTGTTCACAGTGACGGAAGACAAGCAACCACACCGGCTATCAGCTGATTTACCCAATAAACCTCAAACAACTTTTCATTTCTCCTTTTCCAGAAGATGTGTGATGTTACTTGGGAACCACTGTAGTGCTGATGTACGTCAATCTCACTTCTCTTCAACATTGCACAGGGGCATTTTAGGGGCTTCCCATCCCTTCTCAGCAAATATACTCAGATCACAAAAAAGGAAATGCAGACTAGTGATTCCTTTATTCTGTATATTTCCACTGTGTATTCTGTATTTTTCTGTGTGTAATATTTGAATGGAAGTATATACTTCCCTAGCTGTCACAAAATGTGTAAACAGAGACCATTTTGATTGTCAGATGAGACAATGTGTGGATGGATGTTGGAACTTTACAGTCATCTCTTTTTTGACAGAAGTGTCTTGTTAGATATTCCCTTCTGTGTTCATTCTGTCTGCACCTCTGTAGCTGTAGTGTCTGTATCACACCTTCATCTCCTGCAGTATATGTTCCCGCCGCTGTGTGGTGAGTGCAGACTGGAGCATCTATGTCAGTGTCAGATGTTTAGGGGCTCCATGCTATTATGTATGCGTCAGCAGTCTGGGCCCAGGGACGGGAAAATACAATGCAAGCACCTTTTTTCAGCCCCCCCTCCCCGTAAAACTAAACTGAGGGCTTAAACCCACAAAAGGTGGCTTACTATTGACGGAGGGAGTCATGAGAAGTCAAAATACTCATCACAATAGAGATGCACTGACAGACAAACTAATTAACTGTCTGAATAAAGACAACAGCAGAAATACAATGAAGTTTTTTCAGCATCTCCATCATGTTCTCTGAGTGTGAGGAGATAATATTCCTAAACGCCTAGCTGGTGAGAGCATCAGTCAGTCATTATTGTCTAACTTTGAAAGTAAAATAGACGTACTCCTGTGATATTGCTACATCTCTATGAAGTGAGAGCACACGTGAAAATATTTATATAGGCCTCCATGAAAAAGGGAACACAAATTCAACAATGATGGCAAGAAAAACAGATCATAGAAAGCAGCAGAAACTGTTACTGCCAGCGTTTTGTTTCCACGCATGAAAGGAGCAAAGCAGTGAGCTCAGCATAATCCTTTCAAAGCGCTGCAGCCAGCCCTCTGGCTGCCCCGGTCAGCATGATGCTCCAGTGCAGAAGCTCAATGCTCTCCTCTCTTTCTCCCCAGCCCTGGATTTTCTATCGCTTTATTCCACCTGAGCCCACAAACCCACCCAGCACACACACACACACACACACACACATAGACACACACACACACACACACACAGACACAATGCAAAACTGTGCTTAATCAGTTCTTCTGCCACAAACCCAATTTAGGAAAGTGAGAACTTGCTGGTGCTATGGTGGTTGTAGCTTTGTTGGAGTGAGTGTGACCTGTTGGTAATATGTTTCAGAAGCAAACCAAATTATGAAAATCATTGTTAGACTGACAGTAATTCCACTCTTACAACATATATAAAAATGACTGTAAACCCAGCAAAACTCCCACTGCACTTCACATCTACAGGCTCTCAGGTTCTACCCACTACGTGCCCACTGATTTTCTATTTACAGGTTTGAAGTGGAGTTTGTGCACCTGGGCTTTGCAGCCAGTATCAATAATGGGATTTTCTTCCACTTAATTTGCATTAATGCATCAAACAGACTGCTGGTGGTACATAAATAAGAGATCCCCATTGGACATAGATTGTGCTTCAATTTTGAAATCACATAATAACCCCAAGTAGGTTAAAACAGGGAATTTGAACTTCATTTTTTAACATCACATTGAGAAGTGTTTGTCAAGCTGCCCCTTTATTACTTCTGAGTATTTGAAATTGCAACCCAATTAGTCAAAGTATAAAGAGTAATTTCTACATGTGAGCAGAGAACGGGAGGTCACGACAGGAGAGGGGTTAAAATATTTTGTTTTGATTTGTAGCATTGTTCACTGGCCCCTCCTCTGGGCTCAGAGGGGCTGCTGTGGTCCTGGGGTGTTATAAAAAGGCCTCTGGATTCCCCCTGCTCTGGTAAAGAGGCTGAATGTCTGCAGGACATGCTTAACGTTTGTCTACCCATGTTCTTCTACTAACAACCAGCGGGGTTGGCACATAGATGCACAGAGACCGGCGTACTGCTCCACCGAGGAGCTCTCTATGACAGAAATCAGATTTCAGAAAGCAGAGCAGCACTTACATGTTGAAAATTTATCGTGTTGTTTATTTAGTTTAGAGGAGGAAAATCTTTTTAGAGCAAATCAATCATTTGTTCTGTGATTTTTGGTCTCAAACACAGTCAGAAAGGAGAGAAAGAATCTCCTCCTTGTGAATTAGTTTTTCTGTTGATTTTTCATCCCTCCATTACTTAGAGGTTGACCTTTTGCCACCATGTGGGAGTTTAGGTCTATGTCTTTCTGGCGGGCAGTGTTTGCCGAGTTCTATGGCACCATGTTCTTTGTATTTTTTGGGCTTGGGGCCGCCCTCCGCTGGACTACGGGGCCCCATAATGTCCTCCATGTTGCCTTTTGCTTTGGACTGGCGGCTGCCACCCTTATCCAGTCCATCGGCCACATCAGTGGAGGACACATCAACCCAGCTGTTACCTTTGCCTACCTGATCGGATCCCAGATGTCCCTTTTCCGCGCCTTCTTCTACATCACGGCTCAGTGTCTGGGAGCACTGGCTGGTGCTGCTGTGCTGTACGGGGTCACACCCAGCAATATGAGGGGGAATCTGGCACTCAACACGGTAAGATCACCTCCAAGTCAATTAAATACCCCATCTGGATTAAGCTGCTGTACAACAAATGTGACGTTTCTGAATTGCAGTTTTGTCAGCTATGTCTTGAGAAAGCTAAAAACAATGTGTATTGTGTGTTGTTAATGTCTGTGCTTCCAGTTGCAGCCAGGTATCAGCCTGGGCATGGCCACCACCATGGAGATCTTCCTCACCCTGCAGCTTGTCGTCTGCGTCTTCGCTGTGACTGATGAGCGGCGTAACGGACGCCTTGGCTCTGCTGCCCTGGCTATCGGTTTTTCTGTGCTCATGGGACATCTTCTCGGGGTAAGAACCAGACGGAGCGTTTGTAAACATTTTCAAGACTCGCAGGAATCCAACAAGGATCTATGATTGTACTCTTCAACTTTTCTCTATTTATGACATGCAATAGATATACTACACTGGAGCAGGGATGAACCCAGCCAGGTCCTTCGCCCCTGCTGTCCTGGTCAGGAATTTTGTCAACCACTGGGTAAGATCTTTATATATACAGTTTTTTAATATATATATATACCACATTTACCTAGCATCTACAGTATAACTTGGCTAACACATCCTCTGTCATCTGTGTCGATGGCAGGTGTACTGGGTGGGCCCCATGATCGGAGGTGCCATGGGTGCTCTGCTGTATGACTTCATGCTGTTCCCTCGTATGCGTGGCCTCTCAGAGAGGCTCGCCACGCTGAAGGGCACCCGGCCCCCAGAGGCTGAGGGCCAGCAGGAGACCAGGGGAGAGCCCATTGAGCTGAAAACACAGGCCCTATAAGCCAGGAGAAGAAAATTGGCTTTTTGATCCCTCATCCTTCATCCACCTACACCCCTCAGTCTACACCCTCAGTTCCTGGTCCATCCTCTGCACACATACCTCCTCCTCCCTGCCTTCACACATGCTAACTCAGATCCCAAACACCTTTGTAAACCAAACTGGACCTACTGAATAACAGTGACCATCTCACCTGATTTCACCTCCTCCTCCTCCTTCTCCCCCTTGGACTGCAGACCAAAGATGGAGGTTAAAAGAAGAATTGCCACTGATGGAGGCACCCTGTGCCCTGTGGTGTGGGGAGTCAGTCACTCCTGGCTGACCAGGTGGCTCTAACTGCTCAGGACAGGGGCCTTTCTCTCTTTATCTTTCCTCCCCTCTCTTTCTCTTCCTGTTTTCCCCCTTTTGTAGTCTGATAGGAGTGAAGCTACAGTAGAGCAGTGGACTAATGCATGCTTTTCCATTTTTGATCCAGTGTGATCTCGCCCTTTGTTTTGTTTAATGAACCATGGGTAAATTACATGTACGTATTGTACTTTACCAGTATTTATTTGGCTTACTTTTTTTTCAGTTGTACGTGTGTGTGCGCGCGTGTGAGAGGTGTGTGTGTGTGAGAGAGGAAGTGTGCATGCATGTCTCTGTGCATGTGAATGTATGTGTGCTTGTTTTAATTGATCAATTTTATTTTTTCACTTTTCATTGCCAAAATCCTTTGTTTGTATTTTGATTTCCTTTTTATTTATCATACAAGCATATTTTAGCGCTCTAATTTGAGATTCTGCCTTTCCCCGCCCTCACTCATACTGCAAAAGTTCAACATATTCCATATTCAGAGTGATCTCCCCTTTTTTTAACTAAAAGAAAAAAAAAAACAGTCTCATAGCCGAATCCATTCAGTGTAGAGCTTTTGTGTCATCTAGTGAAGCACATACACATTCATATTTATATTCAAATAAACACAAAACACAAAAGTATTGGGTCTTTTCTGAGCTCGGTCTTCATCGAGGTCGAAAACACAGTAAAACTACAAATAACTTCTACAGTATTTGTGTTGGGTTATATTCTTAAAGACTTCCTGACTTAAGCTTTGCTTTTAGAGCAGCACTTATAACAGGTTCATGTACAGGTGTGTGATACTTGGTTTGCTTTTACTTTTGCTTGTCTGCCATGGAGAGACAAAGAAAACAACCCTGAAAAGCTGTTAGGAGCAACAAGTGTTTTCCATTGAGCTGTGTAGGTTTGACACAGGTCTTTGTTTCATTCAGAAAATGAAAGAGTGCATGGGGTGAGATGGCTTGATGCTGGTGTTGGCAAACATCTGGTGCCTTCTCTTTCCTACACTGAGTGGGGGTTTTCACAGTTTTGATGGACAAAGCCCCTCTCTGATGTTTGGGAGAAGAGAGAAGGTCCTCCTGAGGCGGATGAAATCCTAAGAGTGTTGTACAGCTTGATAAATGTACTTTATTTTCATACATTTTACTCATGAGATAATGAACTTTGGAGTTGAGGCTCTACATTGACCTGGTTTCCGCTCTCTCCTCCATCCCTCCTTCATTCACCCTACCTCTTCCCTTTGTTTATGTGGTGGCCATCTTGTTCCCCTCTATTGAGGGGACATCTAAAGCTGCTGGGATGGACAGAGGGGAACTGGTCGATAAGATAATTCAGCATTTGACAAAAATCTCACCAGACAATTATTGAACCAGACCTGTAAGCTGATTCTCTTCCTGCTTCCTCCACATAAGCTTTTTTTTTCTCAGTGTGATTTCCCTGGCAGTGGTTGATTAGAGTTTACATTTTAGTGAAATGTTGAAATTAGAATTTGTGTTCTAATGGAAAAAGCTTTTTGATGTACAGTGTAAAGTTTTCTTTTTTTAAAAAAACATTCATGATAGCTGAGCCTGGATGGATAGAAAATATAATATGCTAGTTGATGCAATGTCCTTTCTTTGGCTGCTAGTTTATGGAAGTGATCATTTTATGTTACACACCAATGCTTTCATACAATGGACAGCCTTTTTTTTGGTACCACGCATACCTTCCCCATAGCAATGCCACTGATTTATTATTTTTATATGTCAAAAAAATCCAAAAATTCTCATGTTGCAAATCCTTTTTGTCTTTTTTCTTGAAAACTTTCTGTGAGATAATATTGGGTTCAAAGAGGTAGTCTGAGGCATAATAGACATTATAGTCATATTATACATACAATGATTAAACATATGAAAAACACAACTATTTCCAGCAAAGATAACATTAGTTAGCAAGACAAAGTCAAGACTTGTAGGACACACCCACTCGCTCTATGATAAAATTTCAAAAGCCATTATTTTATCAGTCAAATGAACTCAAGGGAAGACATAAAATACCTTATCAATAAATTCACGATGATGTTTCTGATTCTTTTTAAATGAAAAATGATATTTTATTTGACACCATTATGGAAGGAATACATGGATCTTTTCTTTGCTGATTTCCTGCCAAGTGCACAGAAAGACTCTATTTTGATTGCCCTCATGACCTCATTGAAAATTAAATACAAAACAGCAACTTATTTCAGAGTTTGAGTAATAAAGGGCTTTATGTATGAAGATAGACTATGGATAATATTCTGGATACAGACTGGTGGATACAGAGCGTGTCAGTGAAAAAGAGAATGAGGGCAACTACATTAAAAAAAATCAGCAATCTAGCAGGATTATAAAAATATCCAAATTGATTAGCTCAAATGAAACCACAAAAGCTTTAAAAATATTTACACAAGGCTTATTGTTCATTTCACAATTCTCACCTTTAACCTGCAAAACTGAAGGATTGGCCCGGTTCGATGTGTGTCATTGATATGAGAAACAGTCTATCTGGAGCATCAGGTTATCTTATTCTCACTTTACAACAGGAAGAGTTTATGAAGTATTCACCATGCATACCCTAACAGGTGTGTAACATGCTATAATGAGAACTAGAAAGGCTTTTTAACTGCTTGGAAGGCTTCTATACTACAGAGAAAATGTATGCAGTGCCATACGAACAAACTATTGAACAAAATTAAACTTAAAAAAAAAAAAAAAAATTCAACCAGGAGAGAGAGAAAAAGAGGCGCAACAAAGATGGCTGATAGATTCTCCTTTCTGTTCTGTTCTGTTCATAGTTTTCCTTGGCATTTGACTTGATTGTTTCTTGCAAAGCACCAGCTCAGCATGTAGAGATTTCACCCTCAACAAGTTTTTACAAAAAACTAAAAAAAAAAAAAAAAAAAAAAAAAAACAGGAGGAAGTGGAAGGGTGTAAAAGACAAGAAAGAAAGTCCGCACAAACTTTTTTCCCTCTGAAAGTCTGGCAGATCAGTTTGGCTCTGGTCCCCTCTTGACTTTTGGACTCCAAAAACAACTTTCTTCTTAACTAGTCAGAGAAGATTGAATTACTCAGAGGAGGATGTAGAAAGTCAAATTCAAGCTCCATGTTGTTAGCCGCATTGCTAGAAAACAAACAAAAAGACACAACTGCCTTTAAACAGTGTGCAAGTATTTTTCACTTCACAAAGTTTCAAAGTACTTTCGTAGTATTTTTAGAGGTATTTTAGTGGTACTTAAGAAACAAACAAATATGGAAACAGAAGGGTAATACTTACATGGGATCAGGGTAAACAGAAGGGTTTGGACTAAAGTCCACAGAAGAAGCAGATGCAGTTTCCATTATGTCTTGACTAATGGACTCTCGTGGGCTAAATGGCTGCTGGAACTGAAGTCTGTAAACAACAACAAACACAGGAAGCTCAGATTCATTGAGATGATTTGGGTGTACTGCTGTTAAAGGGAAATATGAATTGCCTTGATGAGTAGTTTTCTTGATTTTGAGGGCTCTTGGACGGTGTTTTTTCATTTTAAATGTGAGAGGAGCTCATGATAATATGCATGTCTGAAATCTGACATCTACCACCACCTACTATTACAACATAACCTTTGAAGTCTTAACAGCTTTGTTGTTTGAAAAAACTGCTCTACATGATCACAAATCGGTGTTAAAAAACTAAACCCGACAACAATGATAATTAATTCACTATAGCACAAGTGCTGCCTGGGACAACTGGATCATGTCATATCAAATCAGTCCACTGAAAGGAGCCAAGCACATTTCACTTCTGTCTTTTCACACTGAGGCAGAAACATTAGTTTCTCTCTCTGGTGGGTCTTGAAAGTCAGGAAATAATGACCGTTACTGGGCACAGATGTTAGAGTATCCTGAGGAGCTACTGTGTCTCAATAATAACAAACTGGGGAAAGTGGAGCAAGATCCTGTCATGCAATCCAGGCGAAGGTAGCAGAGCTGGTAAGAGCATCTCTAGGTTGCTATAAAGTAACAGACCATATGTCCATAACTATGAGTGATAACAGCAACAACGCTGAAAGTTGCCACATTGGGGCGCCGCTTGTCTGGTGCTCTTCAAAAGCCTCATCATATTCAGAGGTACTGCCTCAAGCGGCCAGTCTGGGTCTACTTTCACTCTTCACTCTCTCTCCCAGGCTCTCCCTTCCTGTTTCCACTGTCTTATCCTCTCCAAGTAAAGGCAGAAATCTCTGAGACAAATCTGAATAAAGTCATATGTACAAGTCTTATATAGCTTAGTGAGACACTGGAAAAAAACAGCAGTAAGTATGACTAAAATAAAAGTAAAACACTATCTGGCATACAGCTTGGAAATAATTCCTCTTTCAAGAATGAGAAAAAATGTGACGATATTTTAAAAAAGGGGTTTTACTGAAGTATTTTTCCAACTCTAGAGCCACTGAGAATTTCCCATCATGATTGTCCATCCCATCGATTTCTGACCTAATTTGTTGCATTAGAAGAAGTTGACATCAAACACAAATATCCAGAAATCAGAGAAAAGGGAAGTTACTTTTAGCAGAGGATTAAACACAAACAAAAAGTGAGTTATACTGTAAATGACACTTACACAGGGAAGATGTTATTGTTGGGGCTTTCAGCGAGAGGTGCAGGAGGTGAGGCCGAGCCAGCTTCCCTGCTCAAACAAAGAAAATCATTCATTCCCACTGATTTCCATTTTCTTTAAAGTAAGACATTTAGACTCATTCAGAGACAAATAAATCTCCTTACGGTCCAACATTGGTGCGCAGTGTCGTGGGAATGTAACCATCTCCAGCTGACGCTTGAGGCTCTGTTTGAAGTAAAAGAGAAAAAAAACGCCTCATCTGTCAGATGTCTGATCTCACTTAAATACGACATGAATGAAACCACACACATGACGATCTTTACCTGAGTAGAATTTTTTGAAGACTTCATGTTTAGGATACTCAGGATACAGGTGTGTTATGTGGGCTATATCCTGGATACGGTCACCAAGGCTCCGGATCTCCAGATCTCTCTTGGTAAAGGGCTGGATGTTCTGGATTTTCTGTCCACCATCTTGGGTAACATCAAAAATTAATGTGATAGAGACAGAAAGAAGGGGGGTTATTCTCTTTCCTGTTTCTTTGCAATATTTTTTTGCATCCTTGTGATCTGAAGAACATTTAAAGTGTTGGGATAAGTTGTACCACTCAAGCTCACAGTGGCCACCTAGTCCAACAATGTCAATATTAAACAGTAAAAAATATGATCTTGATTTGTTGTTAAGGTCCAAATAAAAGGTAAGAAAACCAATTCAAGGACAAGCGAACACAATCAGCATTAAACTGGGCCTGCAGCAGCACTTACTGTCACTTGCAGAAACATACGCAATAGTAATGCCTCCGATCTCAGAGTCACTAAAGCGCAGCAGGAACGTCCCATTGGGCCTGTCTTTGAGAATCAGGTGTAGATGCTGCTTCCCAATGAAACCAAATATCAGCCTGTTGAAGCAAAACATGTCAAACACAAGTGAATATTATCAAACTGCAATAGGTTACATATATTTGCACAGATGAATGCAAAAGCAGCATAACCTCCTCACCCTTCACTCCAGTAGGTCTTCAGGTGTTTCTTTGTCAGCTCCATCACTCCCTCGAACCACTGCCAGAAAGTGAATGGCCGACCTGGCAGGACCTCCTGTGAGAGCAAAGAGCACTTTGAGCATTAAAGAGAAATCGCTCTGAGTGTGTCTAGAAGTGAAGACAAACACCTGCGCAGACCTTGTTAAACTGAGCCCAGGACACCAACATGTTGCTGAAGTTGTCATCAAATTCGGGCTTGTCAAAAATCTTCTGTGCCAAGAACAGCTGATTGTACTCGTCCAGATTGTGCTGCGTCTGGACCTCGGAGGTGAATTTGCTGTTCAGGGTGCTGCACATCATCCTCCAGGGCACCCTCTCCGGCACTATGAACGGCACCCTGTCCTAAAGACCAAGACAGGGAGGCTTACAGAACAGAAACCCTCATACATATCTAAAGTAACGTCGTACTCAGTGTATATCTATATATCAGACCACATTAGCGGTTTTCCAGTCAGCACTCAAGAGATAGTGTGATCAGCAAACAGGAAACTCATCCTGGCTCATGAAACATTAGTGTAAATCTGTTGCTTTCTTTAAACTCACTACTGTGAATGATGCTGTGAGCACTTGCATCTTTGTATAATGAGTTTAAATTGCTAAATATTGTTCTGACCACAACATAAGACTAGTATTTCTTTTTCCATAAAATACTTCCAGAACGAGTGGTGTTGTTTTTTATACATGGGCTTGGTAATTAAATGCCATTATTCAGCACTACAGTGGGCAAAACCACTTTTCTGTAGCAAGTGTAGCATCTGTCATCCTTTCAATAGACTCCAGGTTATCTCATTTTTATGGTACTCAAAACCATGGTACACAGTTCATCGTTGAAATGTGCCAATTTTGTAACTGTGGTTGTTCTAAATTCAGCAGATTCTGTAAAAAACGCAGGAAGAGTGAAAAAAACTATCGTACCTTGGCGTTGGGGGTGTAAACTCGACTGTCATTTTTATCACAGAAAGTGATAATCATCCAATTAAAGGAAAAAGGAACTAAAAAAGGGGAATAACCAAGGAAGAGAGGTACAGAATGTGTGGGACACCGCAGAGAACTGCTAGTTCTCAATACTGGAGCGAATACTGCTGGAGGACCATTATCAAATATTTCGTTACACCAAAACTAAAAAGAAGGTTTTCACTCACTTCACAGACTTAATGTGAAGAGCATGAGGGTGATCACAACCATGTCTTCTGACATTGTGTGAAAATAGCTCAGTATTAGGATGAAGTATGTAAAGGATTAAAAACAAATTTTAAATACCAACTATTGAAGATGTGGGAGGTGTTACATGTGGAAAATCTAAAACAGAAAGGTCACTGGGGACCTTTTTTGGCTAACAGCCCTACATTTTCTCATGCTATCAACATCCTAATATTTACAAGTCTAACTTCACCATATTTGGTAAATCCTCCACGCTACTCTTTACTCATCAGCAGACCCAATCTTACTGTCTTTACTTTACTTTCTGACGACCATTAACCCTCTCTTCACTCCTGGATTCCGAGCTTAAAGCCTAAACACCAAATGTTACTACAAGTGCTGCAATAATTATAAATTGGTAAACATCCATTTATACCAATCTGTTCAAATCATTGTAAAAAAATAAAGACTCAGCATCTAGATTTCAAGTGCACTTTGGACACACTGCTCACGTACACACAATGCTATCACTCACTGCTGCTGCTGATTATAATGCATACAGCACCATCCCCTCCTCAGCATCCACATTATCCCCAGGCAGGATTTTATTAACATCACATCCCCACACCATTATAACCACCACCTCTCACACTCACTCCTTCTAATGCTGAGTAAGTTGTTTCCTGTGAGGAGAAAAACAAAAGAGCATATCCCCCATGGTCTTGTGGACAATTAAGGGTTTGTATGTCTACAGCAACAGAGATAAACTATCTTGTTTTCAGAGATTACCAAGCTATGGATTATATAGATAACTGCAAAAGACAACAATGAATTAGTGAACTTGAGAAGAGGAAAAAAGTGGCACTTACTGGTTCAGAAAAAGCACAGTCCCATATGATAGTGGCCAGAGCGTTGTTGTCTTGACTACCGTGAACGATGACAACAACTGGTAAAGAGATCATCTGCAATGACATGTTTTTAAAGTTCAAATCTTAAATCAGCAGGAAGAAGTAGGTCATAAAGAGTTTAGAGCAGGATGTAGAGAGCATTTAAAAATTAGATGAAGCAATGGAAAAGGTCAGACCTGTATCCTGTAGGGAGTGTCGCAGCCTGTGATAGTGATCTCTGTAGAAAACAAGAGAGCAAACTTCTCCTCTGTCACAGACTCTGATCCCTTTCTGTCTGCTCTCTTGATCTTTTTGATGGACTGTTAAAGCCAAATAAAAGACGAAATGTGTTTTAAGCAAAGACCTCACATTCATTTTATCCAGGTTGAGAAAATCGAGGGGTCTCCTCTTTTGCCTACCATGTTCCTGAACGTGGCACATGTGCTCTTGCTGGCTGTGTTGTGCTCCAGGACGGCTGTGTTGTTAATGAGTTCCCCGACATTATCACTGAAGGTGGAGGAAAGGACAAGAGTTTCAATGCAAAATGCAAAATCCTCCTCTAAACACTAGGTAACTCTTTTCACTTGATTACCTAAAAGAAAACTGAGAAAACCACAGCATATTTAAAAAATGCAGCCTGAGTCTTATCCAAAAGAAGGAAGCTGATTATTTTCTCCATAACTTCAACCCTGTACTGAATACCTTTTTCTTTCAGAAGTGATTTTTTAAATTCTTTGACTTGATTTTAAAGCACTAAGTGGCCTTGCTCCTCCATACATCACAGCATTACTGCTATTGTAGTCACCATTGCTTGATCACGATTGCCCTTGTCCTTTCAGATGTTTCTCGTGTTTTACATACAGGCACCAGCCAGAGATCCTCCTGCTTTATTGCCTTCACACTTTGATACTCACTACCTTTCTATATAAAAATTTCAAACACTGTGTGGGGATGAAAGACCTATCTGTCAATCTGGCTGAATTTCTAAGCCTTGGTCTATATTTTTTATCATTGTTTTAACTGTCATTTTTATTCTAAGAATAAGTATAACTTTATTGATCCCCAAAGGGAAATTCAATAATTCTTGTATCTTATTCAACTTGCATTAAATTCAAATGTATATTATATATATTTTTTTTTTTACTTTATTGATTTTATTTATTATCATTCCAGGGTAAATTGCTGTAAATTTTCCTTTGTTAATAAGTGAAGCTCTTAAGGCAGTATGTTTGAATGTATGGGCAGTCCTGTTTTAATAAATCTGGATTGTTTTTGGATCTCTTTTATATATATTATATTTGCAAAACAAAACCCTACTATATACAGAGGACCCATCTATCTATCTCTCCCTCTCTTTATGTGTTTCAACCTAAGTTTTTTCTTGCTAAATACTGCAAAGTGCTTCACTAATGTTGGACAGGATGGGTCAAATCTGTCCCATTTTAAGGTTGGCTCTCTATAATATATCAAACAATGAGTGTGGTCTAGACCTGCTCTTCTGGAAAGCATCTTGGGATAACGACTGTTGTGATTTGGCGCAATATAAATAAAAAATGATTGATTCTTATACAGGACCTTTGAAAAGACCAAGTAGAAACCTTTTCTGTATTATCAGACTGATGTCTATCAGGGCAGGAATTTTTTTATTTCAAGTTTAAAAGGCCCACAGCTGTTAAAAAATCTGTTATCAATGTGAACTGCTTCACTCCCTCCCTGTCAGTGCACACTCCTACATGTTTTGCTGTATGTATGACTCACCCAGGTATGCTGCCAAGGTTCCTGGCCTGCAGTTCATTAATGATCTGTGCTCTCAGCACCACAGGCTTCCCGGGAGCCACTTTCTCCCCGAGCAGATATCGCACAGTGGTGGAGAACTTTGACTGAGTTTTAATGACCTGAGGAGGCTGTCTGTCCACTACAAGAGAGCTGAAAGCAGTATTGATTACAAGAGAAAAGAGGAATGGGTGAAAATAAGTCATTTATGAGGCTCTGGAAAAGTCTGATTAAAATTAAATGTCTTCTACTGCAGTTTTGACATCAAAAATGAAGTGGGCATATCAATATATGTACAATAAAACAGTGACACTTTGTTACCTTTGAATGAGAGTCTGCACAAGTGTCCCAAGCCTTTCCTGGAGCTCCGGGATCGGCTCTCCAATCAGCATCAATTCCTGTCGCAACTTCCCGTTCACCCCAAGCAGCTGCTCACACCTAAGACAGATTATACACCATAACAGTGAGAGGGTGGGCTACTGTCTTTAAATATGTGTTCACCCAAGACAAGGACTTCACTCTTAAAGAGAAATAAACTGGTTGCATCAATATTTGAACTCCTGTCAGCCCAATGGCATTTACACAAAAAGGTACAGGTAAGATTTTCTTGAAGAGGAGGTAATAAACTACTTCTGTTGGTACTTTTGCTCCTCAAACTCAATCATAGCCCTTTTCTTTCTCTATCTACCAGATGCCCCCTGACTCTTTCTCCTGTCTTAGTCACCTCACGCCCACATCCAGCCCTCCTGGCCAGTGTTGACCCCTCACTGCCCAGTACCACTTATCTGACGTCTCCCTCACACATTCACACCTGCTTCCATCATAACTCCTAATCAACCACATAGTACTCAGTCAGTTTCACAAAGTTGCTTTTTCATGCCTCTGTTTCCTGCCAATGAAACTGAACTGACCTTTGCTTCTGCATGACTGTCAACCCATGAACCCTCACCTGCCTTTCTGTGTGACTTAAGTTGGCCTGCTGATGTTATAGCATGTGTTAGATATTTGTTTAGAGTTCTGTAGTTTGTGTGACTGACGGTCAGTTTGAAAATACTCTGTAAATATAGTTAACTATAAATGTTGAGCACTGAGAAGCAGCAGCAGAGAAGAAGTCAGTAGCCTTTTGTTTTAGCCTTTGCCCTTGTTTTAATGGTTGGAGGATCAGACGAGGACATTCTTGAAAAGAGTCACTTAAAAATGTTTTTTTTTTTTTTGGCATTTACTCACATCTGGGGATCATTAGATTATATTTTGATCTGTAGTGCTGGTTTTCTTGAAAAAAGGAAGAGTGGAGGATTACATGTTATTTTGTGTCTGTTTCCCCAGGCTGGGAAAGACTGAATACTTCCTGCTGTGCTCTCACATTCGCTAATGGCAGTTTCACATGGTATTAAGACTAATAGGATAGAGAGAAAAGATCAGCTCTTTCTATTTCCACAGGAAATTTTGAGGAGCATCCAAACCTTCATGGTAAAGCACATTGCTTGAAAACAAACATAAAGATAATTTTATGTAGTGATGTAGTGGGTGATTAGGAGGCACAATGATACAGAAACTATCAATCCAAAGGTATCAAATAGAGTGAGGTCCACCTCACCAGGTCTGCAGCGGATTCAGGTTGTCATCAAAAGGGTGTCCGATTGTGGCTTTGTGCTGTTCCCACCTCCATGCCTTCAGCCTGCTGATCAGTCGGCTCTGACACTGATCCAGACAGTCCACACTCTCCTTCAGAAGCTGGAAACGCTTCTACAAACACAAACATCCAATAGCCTGAGAATTAACTTATTCCACATTATCTTAAAGTCCTAATAAACATTTGTAAAGTTTGTTTCAACGCAACAAAAACCCTGGTTTAACAAAGCTGTAAACTTGGCAAAGTTAGTTGTTATATATCCACAGTAAACAAATGACGTACAAAGAAATTCCTCAGTCCTCCCTGGGGAAGAGTTAAGGAGTGTTTCTATGTATAAACTCACAGTAGCCATCGCTTTCACATTGTACTCCAGCTGCTGGATGCGGGTCTGGAGTTTCTGGATTTCTGAATTTGCTGGATCGAGTCCATTCTGTTGGATCGGCCCTGGGCAAACACAGTAAAAGTCCATGCTTATCATGTTGTTTCAGTGCCTTTATTTTGAAAAAGCCATATTTAACACAACTTTAACTAAAGTAAAAATAATGGTAATGTCTGAAAACCACTGACAGATATACAACTGAGAAACTAAACTGCAAACCAAACAGAATCAGATTAAAACTAAAACCTGACTCTCTCTCCTCTATCAAATAACTCATAAACAAAAACAAATAAGTAAAGCAGAGAAAAGAGGACGTTAGTCTCTTATTAAGAAGTATCTTTCTTAAATTGTCATCTATATACTGATATAATTAATTTCCTTTAAATATTGTGGCATAATTTTGAGGCCACATCATCCATCCCATGTCTCACCTTGTAATCCCTCATAGTTCTGCCTCTCCCAGTTAAGATCTTCTTGCTGCTGATGTATCTTCTGTCGAATGTCCTGGACCTCCAGCACTTTCAGAACAAGGTGATCCACATCCTGCATGTTGGGGAATGAGGACTCTCTGTTGGGGAATTGTGGGTACTGTGGCGGGTTGGGCATGGGCATGGGAGTGGGCTACAGACAGAACAGACAGCATTTAATCCACCTATAGAGGATTGGTGCTTTGGCGAAGAGTTTAAATTGCTCTATTTTTACAGCTTATTTTCCTTACAAAAAATCACCTAAGTTGAAACTCTTGTAAAAATATTTTTACAGACAAAAAGACACAAGAATATAAAGTCAGACAGAAATGTACTGTTCTTTTAGAAAATTCAGGTCTTACCGCAGCAAGTAAGACCCTCTCCTTCCTGAGGATGTCTCTGACCATCACTGCAAACTGTAGAGGCTGCTGCTGAAACATCGCCTGTAAAACAAACAGAATTACAAATCAAAAAAATTCATAATACCAATGCGATAATTTTACGATCTAATTGTTACTACAGTAATATCATTCCACTAGTGTCAAAATCACTGCTTATCAGCGTCTTGTTTCATTTATGCTGAAGAAGCCTGGCACAAACATTTCAAGGAAGTGTGTGGGTTTTCTATGAAATCCTTAACAGGCGTTTTTGTATTTGTGGTTTCGGAGGAAAGTTTTTTTGGTTGTTTTTTTGAGAACTTCTCACACAATCTACAACCAAATGCCATGCATGAAAGGAAACCTTTATAGCCCATGTGAAAACACCACACTCCTGGTTTTGGTTTCAAATTGACTCAAACTTACAAATCTGCTGAACTCACAGGGAGTCCTCTGGCATGAAATGATGCGGCCTAAAATCTGTACCCGTCTGTCTGCCCTTACTTCAAACAGCCTGCACAATCACACAGTCTCTTCACAGGCATATGGAGCAAATTTGATCTAATTTCAGAAGCTTTTAAGTAAAAATGTACCCCTACCATGTTCCTGCTGATCTGCATCAGCTTCATCCTGTACACCACGTTAGCGTTCTGCTGGGCAATTGTTCGCAGCAAAGTGATGCTCTGTTCCAACAGCGTCTGAGCCTGGCTCTTCTGCTCCATGTTTTCCAATGAAAAGTCCTCCCTGTGACACACACAACACAGTTTAAACACACGCACAAGCATAAAGATCCACTATATTTTCAACCATGTAGACGTTTAGAGTGTGTGAGGGCACATGATAGTTTTGTACCATCTTTGGGTCTCGATCCAGTCAGCCAAAAACTGCCTGACTTCGATGGGGAAGGCAGAGGGAGGATAAAGGTTGTTGACAGTCTCATCAGGCAGGCACAGGATCATCTGGGACATGTGCATCCATTGAGTCATGATGAAGCAGGTCTGAGTAAAAAGAAAGGATATGATTATGATTCACTTTTAACTTGAACTGAATTATAAGCATACACCGACAAACCCCCTTTTGTTTAATCACAGACTGTGGTATTGGAAAAGTGAGGCATGTGTTCTTGTAATTTTTCAAGTATTAACCAAAAACTATATAAACATGGGCCTAGTCTGCATGATGTCACTCAGTGGTTTCTGGACATATCTTATGAATCCAACTGACTTTTTGATTGAAAACGGGCAACATGTTGGCCCTGCTGTCTCAGTGTTATCTCTTTTGAACCAGGCAGTGGACATGTTCAATGTTGCTGTAAAAACACAAATTTTAGTAGGGCAAGCTTTGAGCCACTTTGAGACATTTTGACAGGAAGTTCAAGATTCTGTAAGGGATTTCAGTGGTGTCAATGTTGGCACTCCTGTTGACAAACCAATACCTCCTTCCTCTTTGTAGGTGTTGTCTTGTACATACATCTGTTTTTATTATTAATAAAATATCACTCTCCCAGCCAAATATAATGCTGTTGCCTATAATAAAAAACTGTCCCTGCACTGAAAAGTTTATCATTTCATCTGACATTTACCCCGAGCTTCTGTTACAGATAAGAAACAACTGTTGAATCATTTTGTAATAAGTACTCTTTGCTGATGTTGAAAGAGGCTTCAATATTAATACCAATCTTTCATAACTAGCCACAAAACTTAAAACACAGACGTTTGTAAAACATGAGAAAATAGGGAACTTTAAAGTCCAATATAAATTTTATATGTTACAGAGCATTTAAACTAGCAAGACACAGGACTTACTGAGTACAAACTATAGTGCTTATGTTCTTGATGTAGGAACATCCACTGTCAGTGTGAGGATCAATGACATGTTTGAATATTTTCTTGGTCCTATATGGCAAAAATATATAAGGTTAACAATAAAGGGTAGATAATGAACCAAGAAAACAGGATAAACCCAAAGGCGGTTTGGTCCTTTGCAGGAATTGTTAACAAGCAGCAAACAAGGAGCATTTCAACCACTGCATGTAGGTCAAACAACCAGCCAGCAAATACCACAGCTGTGGAGATTTATTACATCTTTAGTTACAGAGGAACAATTGTATCCAGCTTCATCAGCTTTCCAGCAGGGACGAAAACGTGTCATACACATGGAAAGGAAACACATAATTAAGTCCATAAATACTTGCTACAATTATGGAAAACTAAACCACATGTGGGCACTTCAGAATAAATATTAAACACGTTTTAAAGAAATCAGATCAAAGACATGATAAAGGCTGACATCTGACTTTTGTCTCGAAAGCTGTCTTCTATTATGACTTTGCGTTAAATCTTGTTCAAAGAAAGAAAGAAAGAAAGAAAGAAAGAAAGAAAAAGAAAAAGAAAAAGAAGATTCAGATTCAGGTAGCTTTGTGTTGAGTCATAGCTCCTCAGGTCATTATAACTCTGCCACACATAACTGCAGTGCTTCAAATTCTATAAATTCTTTTTTTAAATTAAAATTAGTCAGAATAATACTTTAAAATAGTTTTAAAATGAATAATAAAATTCACTTTGAAGAAATAATATAAACTGAAGTTAAAAACTACTCTGCATTGATGAGAGGGTTGGGTAAGCTGTTGTGGTTTTCAGTCTGAATCTAAAGGAGGTGAGTTTGGGGTTACTCACTTCCAGTCTTAGGAAATGAAGCTGAGGTGGAAGTTTACGCTGGGTTTATATAACCTCAGAATGATATTGCAATATTTTAAGGAAATTTACATTAATGATTTGTATAGTGGTTTAAAAAAAACACCAGGGGCCTGTTCTACGAAGCAGGTTCAACTTAGCGAGGTAGCCTTGGAGATACCTCGCTCAACTTAGCGTGGTAGCCAGCGGTCTCGCTACACGGTTTTACGACGCTGGTTATCAACCTCAAAAGTGGATCCAGCTCTGCTATGAGCGCGTGCACACATATAAGGCGGAGCCCGCCGCATCTGACCAATCACGAACATGGACCAGTCTGGAGCGTCAGAGCAGGACGGAGAGTGAAGGACCGCGGACTTTACAAACGAGGAACAGGAGACGATCATGAGAAAGTATGAAGAATTGAAAGCTACCATAAACCTCAAAAGCAACACCGTCGCCGCTGCAAAAGCACGGAGGGAATGCTGGCAGAAAAGTAATCTTTGATGCCATTATCACCCTGAAATAGCACTGTTCAACATGCGCTTTTAACTAAGGTGACAGTCCCCGAATTGGATGATCTGTCCCCGGCTAAAGCTGTCCCCGAAAATGTCCCTGATTTAAGCGTTTCATGAATGAGAACAAAAATGTTGCATGTGGGCTAGAACAACGGCTGTTACAGTGGGTAGGAAGCACAAGTAAGCAGTCCTGAACAACAGTATTTACGGGGTTATTATAAGGTGCGTGCGCTGCTACTAAATAGTACCGAGATGTTGTCTGTGATCGCGCAGCCCATGCCCATTCATTCCCAAGATGAATCATTCGTTTGTTCATTACTATCGTGTTTACATGTTTTGTGTAATATGTCGGCCATATGAGCCTTTCATAAAGGTGGTCATCCGGAGAAAACTCTCCCAGAAAACTCTCGCGAGCCGGAGTGCTCCGCCTCGGACAATGCGAGCACCGAGGTCTACAGGATCCTCCAAGAACGGACAAGCCGTTTTTCGAGAGAGCTCATTGGTCAGTGGGCGGGGTTTTCATACTCGGTGAGTTCAATCTGGAACTTAACCTGCCCCGGAGCAGGTTAGCCGTTCAGCGTATATTGCTATGGAGACTCGCCTCGCTCAGAAGTGAACCCGCGTCGTAGAACAGGAAACCCAGAACTTATCCTCGAAGTTATCTCGCTAAGCAGTAATCCTGCTTCGTAGAACAGGCCCCTGGTGTAGAAGTGATCCCATCTTGCAGGCTACAGCATTTTTTATTGGTAATAACTAGCATTTTCCATCAAAGCATCAACTTTTTTGTCCACCAGCCATGAGGTTGGACAGAGAAAAGTTCCCACAACAGTTAGAGCATTTGGAGACTTGAGCAGTGACATGTCATTCCTCACAAAAACAAATTTATAAATAAAAGGGCCTTTTGTGGACCATAAAAAGCTGTATCCAGCCAGCTGAACAGTCATGTTTGATTCTTGGGTGCAGAAAAAAAACTGTTTGCAGGGAGATGATGTCCCAAACCATAAACAGGGCAGCTTCACCATAAAAATAAAAGGATGGATCTCTCATCCCAGTGAATAAGTTAAAAATATTCATAAGTTTGTGTAACACCCTGAAAATTTGGGATCAGTGAGAACAAACAACAGTATTAAACACCCAATACATTTGGCACAGCAACAACTGTACAGGAAGGTACAGAGAAGTACACTCAATGTCAGTTTTAACATGACAGATGGTTAATAGTCATTTCTTAACTTGTGTACAACACACGCCTACACTACTTATTGTTTTTGAGGAATACAAATACATTAAAGTAAAAAATTAAACTTACTTGAGGAGAAATAGGGAACATATGCACTTATAAAAATTATTACCCCAATGGGTAATAATTTTACCCACTTGACACGAAGCATCATTTCTAGTTTTGACAGTCATATGACCTGATAATGTTTCATACAAACATACAACAAACTATGTCGACTGAGCCGCATGCAGAAAAAAGAAAACATTGTTTAATTACATATAAATTTTCTAATGTTGCATTATGAACATTTGTAATAAAGTTGGTGTGTGAAAAAACAACAACTCTTGATCATGTGATCATATTTACCAAAGTCTCTGCGTGTCAGTCATCTGATAATCAAAACAAGAAATACTAATAGCACGGAGAGTGTATTAGTTATCACCAACTCTGTCAGCAGAGGCCCACATATCATTAGATTGATGTCATGGTTCTAATCAGATGGTATGTAATCTGATTTGTTTTCCTTCAAAGCAGCTGAACAAAAGTAACTCTCTTACCACTCTTTCTTTTTTCAGTATTCCTGTTCCTTTCCTGCCTCCTCCCTTCACTTTTCCTGCTTCAGCCTCAAACTGTTCCTGTCTTGCACTGCTTAACTCGCTGCCTCGACCTCCCTCTGATCCCGCACTACATTAAAACCCAGAACCATTTCCCTCAAAGGCACCAGCCCAACCCACCACACCATAGGTCTGCCCTGGAGTGAGGAAAGTGCCCTTATTCCATCTCTTCAGGACATTATGGTATTTCAAAAGATGGCTCTTTCTTTATTCAGAAGCATGTTCCACATTCCTGTGAAAGGAAACCAAGTTCACTAAGCCTGATTGATCAAAGTGCGATAGCGGGCTGATTTCCTGCATCTAAATTGCTTGTATCATTCTTGACCTGGGCTCACCCCTTTTTTTTAAATAAAAAAAAAACAGTGAAGATACTTTTTCTTGAACCAGCTTACTCAATTACCTTTGTCTTTTCTCTCTGACAGTCTTTATTCAGTCAAATTTGGCTTATTTTTGAAAGTTAGAAATAAAAATGAAGTTTTTGTTTCAGGCCCATTGAGGTTCCTATTCCTCCTTTGGAATAATAAGTAATTGTCAGAGAGCTGTGTGCCAGTAAAAGTTGGTACCACTGTTTTGTGTTATAATAAGAAAAAACTTACAGCTGTTGTCTCCAGCTCCTCTGCTGCCTTTATGTCTCACACACACACACACACACCTACTTCTATAACTACGCTGATCTGTAGTATCTGCAGGATGCATCATAAAAAATGATTCATCTCGACACCTCTACCCCATATAAGGAAGCCAGCAAGTAAAACATTAAGGCAATTTCAAATTTGATAGAACCCATAAAAAGTGTTGTCAATATATCTTTGAATAACTTAAGATCCAGCTGCAACTTTTGGAGCACAGTGACATTTGAAATACAACAACCCTTCAGGGAAGACTAAATCCTGAGTGTGCTTTCTGTTATGGTTCGGCTCGCTTGCAATGTGCAAAACAAATGTGCTCAGTAAGGTATAAAGTTCAATGGCATTATCTATGACTACGTCTAAAGACCTGGACATTCACATCCAGGGCAACTATATGAGACCAAATCCATCTATAAAAATTTGGGAGCATACCTTATGTTTTTTCTTCTCTACCACACCTCTGCTAGAAAAACATAGGTTATTGAGTCATCCATTAACAGTGGCTCATTACACAGAGACCTTTCTTGAACTAGGGGCTCAGATTACAACTGATACGAATCAAATTTGTGACGTTGAGGAATCTCATAGTCTTCCTTTTATGTAATCTTTACTTTGGTTCACTGGGCGAACATTGTCTGCCAGCAGTTTTGTAGCTTTTGGAGCAGCAAAAGTCCCGGGTGTCCTGGCTGCTGCTGAAACACAAGCCCTTCTGCTGTTGTTTGTAGAAGAGAACAACTTGTTTCTACAAGAAAATATCCTTGTGCACACTATATGATAATCTTACATGAATACGTTCTTATATTGTGCACACATGATAATAATTTGTGCAAACCATGTAAATACTGCATGCCATTAACTTTTAGGCAGGATACAAAAAACTACAGGGACTTCAGGGGGCTCTATAATGCCCAAGTTATATTTTTGTATGATGAATAAAATATGTTGAAAAGACATTTTCATAGACGGGATTTTAATCTAGGGCTGTTCCATGTCATCCATGTATACTTTTCTATGTGTCAAAAGGCTCATATCATGATATTGACATGTAGTAAGACCTCTGCTCAAATACTTCAGAGCAGGATCCGGGGGACCATCACTGTGGACTAAAGAGCATCGCCTCTCCTTCATGTCACAGCTGGTGTAAATATTTACAGTAAAAGTGCGGGATGGTTCAGTGACCAGGGAAGCTTGTGTTCCCTCCTCTCGAAGTTTGATATCAGCTGATGGTAAGTTGGTAAGTTGTACTCGATATATTGCTTCTCTTGGAGTCTGTCTGGAGCTTTGACATTGGCAAAATGCTTGAATGGCTCTACTTAGTCTGACTTGTGCTGAGAACAGCAGTGTCTAATATCTCCATTAAAACACTTTAACCTTTTATGGAGATGAGGGCAGGGGCTTGTAACCAAAGGACTGAGGAACCAGCTTGGGGATGAAGAGCAAACATCTACACTTCTTCTATTGTTGGAGCGACTTAATTACGACACAGGAACTTAGCACGACTTTCTAAACTGTAAAAATTAAGAAAATATCCTACAGGAGTTGAGCTGAGCAACTAAACTTCAAACCACTCAGACTAAGAACTGAACTTACACTGGAATCAAATTATCTTCATCTGCTGTCATGCACAGACATGACCATATTACTGCAGCAAAGGTTTGTTGTTCTTTGGAAGGTGTGATGGAGGGAATTCTATGGTAAAACTTGTCTCTCTGTCAGGGTCTAATTGCAGCTCTATCAGCCTTGGAGCACATACCTGCAATGGACGCACTAAGCAGCCTCAAACTAATAAACTGAAATGAACATTATTGAAAAACATTGTTTATAAGCATGTCTGTATTTTGAATGAAGTTGAAGTATTGGTCTTTGTCACTTAAATGCTATAAGTCTAGTCTATTGTAATTAACAGAATTACACATTACTGTCGTTTGAAATGTTTGGAATTCACAGTGAAAAGCGAACAAAAAAAATGAAGGCTATATATATTATATATGCTGCTGACTGCAAGCTGCCATCACTACAGTGAAGTATTTTTTCAAATTATCATGTATATTGTCATGGCGAATTTCCTTCAAACTACCTTGATATCATTTTGAGGCCATATCACCCATCACAAAAATAATCAACAATTTACTCAATTTTTAATCCTGTTTTCAAACAAATCTATCAATCTCACTGGGTAAATGACAAAAATTGGAATAAAAATAATTTTTAAAAAATCCAGAAAAACACTTCCACAAAGACTAAATTCACAACGAGCTCACCAATATAACGCTGTCCGTTCGAGCTTGTTAGTCATGCAGAAAAGCTTTCACAGAAAACAAAAACATGACAGGATAAAAATATGTCAGTTTGGAATGTAGACCTGTTGAACAGATTGACTTATTCCTTTTTGTTTTTTTCCTTTCTGGATTGGCTCCTACTTTCTGTCTTGTTAACCAAGTTTCAGGCACTGTTTTGATAGCTTTATGTGCATTACTGGTTCTATTGTCTTATCCCAGATACTCCTTGACTGCTCAGTGTCCTTCTTTGCTGCTTTCTAGCAGCCAAACATGGAGGTTTATTCAGCTGTTGAGCATTTGTACCTCTCTGTTGAGGAAAGTTGGACTTTTTGACTTCAGTGTCTTGCAATCGGTGAAATGTACTCTTGAATGGCTCCCAGTGTGTTCTAGCATTGAAGACTGAAGATTTATCATGAACTTTGGAACTGTTTAATGGGCAAGCTTATCTCCCAGACCTTTTCAAACCACATATTTTATCAAGGACCCTCAGATCTGAAGACCGGTTGCTTCTGGCTGTCTCTAGGTCCAAGGTGAAGCTCAGGGGTCTTTTCATCTCCGCAGCTCTGGAAAGCTCCCCCACCATACACTGTCCCCGACACTTCCTGTTTTCAAGTCAGTCTTTGTGCACTAGCATGTCTGATATATTTTCACACTATTAAAATTGATTCTTAGGCCGTCTCTTGAACCAGAGTAGCTCTGGTTTTATAAATGGCAAATGAAAGTGGAATCAATACTCCTTCTCTTTTTTCATTGTGGTGTTCTTTATTAGATGTGTATTGCAAAATAACACAAGAAAAGCTGGTCTGGTGTTAGTTGGCAAAGTAGGCATCCAACTTCTCATGTTTCACACAAACACAAAGACACTCACACTTCATAACAAAACACCACTAAACTGGGTCACACTTAGTCTACTACAGCTTTTCAGGATGTGTCCGTTAAAAAAGGGGTGAGTTCAAGCACATCAGGCCCACCCAAACCACCATGCCTGTTGTAGATAGGCTCAATCCCAATCTTCACATTTACTGACTCTCAGGCATAGAGGCACATTCCCGATCAGTCCATGTTCAGCTCTATCCCACTGTAACTCATAAAGAGTGAGGGGTCTTTAACGTGGACTTCTTAAGTGGCCTAAACAATTCAATGCAGTCACTCACTCTCTCGCCAGTTGGCACCAAAATTACTGTGCAATTATCAATGATTTTCAACCTGAAAAGCAGGGCTTAGCTGTAGTGGATTTACAACTGGATTTACACCACCACTTTTTTTATGGCATTTAAATTGTGTATATTGTAGAAAGCTTTATTTTTTCTTCTCCCTTTTCTAATTTTTTTCTTAATTATTACATTTATTTAAGTTCTTAATATTAGGACCCTTATTGTTATAACTGCATTTTTGCACTTTTTGTCTTGTCTGTGATGCTGCTGTGACAAAAAAATTTCCCCCATGGGGGATCAATAAAGGAATATTCTATTCTATTCTATTCTATCCTAGTGCCTAAATGCTGTATGACCAGGATGTGCAAAAGTAATGGCATCTTGTAGCATGGCAGTATTTTGATCTAGAAAATAGAGATCAAGCTGTTTGTAGGATGTAAGGGGTCAAACTGTTATCTTAATACTTGACCGGAGTGGGTATTCAAAGTCCACCTATGAAGTTACATACAAAACCTCCCTGCTGAGAGTCTTTCAGGCATCAGGAATCCTGAAATTTTGCTCTCCCTCTCTCTCTTTCTCCCTCCCTCTCTCTCAGTTGGCAAGCTACCCAAGCTCATGTGGCCAAATAAAGACAACTCCCTGACTTTGTTCCCCTAAAATAACACATGGCATTCAATTGTTTACTGAGCAACAAACCTCTGTGATACACTCAAGTATTTAAGCTGAAAAGTGTTCATCTCGTGCACGTCACATAATAGTAGCTGGAATAGTTGGTAAAATAGTAGTTGGTAGTTGGAAGAATCAATAAGTTTAGCCTGTTGAACTGGTCGGATTTACGTCAGCTTAAGCTCAGCTTCATCACTAAAGTAACAGTGTAGTCTTCTCCACATACAAATTAGAGTTGAAAACTTTCCATTTTAGTCATGTGGAAAGGCAGTGTAAGGAAAGTGGTTACTCAAGCAAAAGCATGTAAAGGTGGTTATTGCTTAAACTGTGAAAACACCTTTACACACAGCTGTGAAAATGACTGGAGGGAACAAAGACATCACACGCTGTCAGGCCAATTTCTAATAATCATCATTCAGAAACACCCTCTGAGACTTAAGCCACCACGGAGAACCAAAGAAACAGGGCAACAAATTAATTATACTGTCATACAGCCAAATCCATTTGGAAATATCCCCTAATAGCATGAATATGAATACAATGAAACCTCATTGCTCACACACTGTGCTCCATCATCACCCAAAATTCAACAGTGAGGCCAAATTTTCACAAACATGATGTGAATTCACCAAAAACAAATCCTTTACCTAAAAAAGAAATGTCTCCTGTAATCTTGGCTGTGTCTTATCCAAATATGTCTCTCCGCTCCGGAAAAGCAGCAATGTGCCCCAGAGGTTTCCAACCCTCCAGATACCCATGAGGAAAACAATTCCTCGAAATTATTTCTTAGAAATGTCAAGGCCAAGATTGTAAGCATGGAAACATTTCCTTCATTAAATTAACATCTGTTATATTTAAGCTCTTAATACACACAAGTCCAAGAGATCTGGTCTGAGATGAGAGGAAAAGCAGGTGACATACTTTCCTTTCTCTTAGGTGCATACCTTTTGTTTAAGGCGGGCCATGGTGCTCAATTTAGGCTATTATTGAATAGTATCTACAGAAAGCAATCTGCAGTGTTCATGTCTTTTAGTTTGGGGTATGACCTGCAGACATTTTGAAGACTGCAGGTTTTTTTGTACGGTTAAATTCTTGTGCTGTGGAAACAGCAAAAAGTATCTGTGAGCTGGGTCAAGAGAAGTCTCCTCCTCCTGTTGGTGTTAACTGCCAGTCCTGCCTCTTGGAGGTTAGAATAAACACTGCAGAGCTGCATATGTCCAACACCTTAATAATAATGCATCAGATTTGATAGCGCTTTATCAGCGACCCTCAAAGCACTTTACATTGGATACATCATTCATTCGCTCACACAATCACAGCCTGGTGGTGGTAAACTACCTTACTAGTCACAGCTGCCCTGGGGCAGACTGACGGAAAGGTGGCTGCCAGTTTGCACCTATGGTCTCTCTGGCCGCCGCTACACAACACTCACATTCATACACCAGGAGAGGACGAACACTGGGAGGAAGGTAGGTTAAATGTCTTACCCAAGGACACAACAAACAGACTCAGGATAAGGGGAATCGAACCGCCAACCTTCCAGTTACTGGACATCCACTCCACCTCTTGAGCAACTGATGCCCCCTCATGATGTTTACATTAAAAAAAATTTGAGTTTGGGTTCGTGATGTTTGCACAAAACACAACATCTTTGAATGCAGGAAATAAAACAACAACAACAGGTATCAAGGGTCAGTTAGAGGTCCACACAGAGCTGAATGCAGCTGCACACCACACTATTTATTTTAGATGCAAACCACAGCTGCTTTTGAGTGTCAAGTCTGGGATAATATGACCACAAAAGGCTACAGCAATGACGTCGTATAAACAGCATAAAAACCAATCAGGGCTCATGTTGTGTAAACAGCATTTCCATGGACGGTTGTCCAAGATTAAACAAACGTGCTTAGTAGGCCTGGAAAGAGAAAGAGAGACCAAGCAAGGAAGAACAAACTAAGATCGTTGGCACTGTTTCATCATAACACACTGTAGTTCCTTCCACCTTTCAAGCATTAACACACAGTTCGAAGTCTCAGGTGGATCCCCTTACAGCTGAAGATGTGGTTTAACTTAGACAAACACTTTTAGAGACGGATAAACTGTCGAGGAAAATGTGTTTTTGGGGTTTCCTTTCTTTTTGACACCCAAACAAAACAGCCACAGTATTTTCAAAGCACTGTCTCCTAAACTGACAAGGCCTCATCCCCTTTAAAGTAACATGTACCACAGGAATGTAAATAAGCTGAATGATGACCTACCTCGGTGTCAAAAACAGCTTTCAAAACATTGAAAAACGGTGTTGTCCGTCGCCTCTTCCCACTCCTTCTCTGTCTCGTAACAAGTCCAGCAGTCCGAAGATCTTACTGACCATTTCCTGCCTTCATCGCCCACTTATACTCCAGCTTTGACCCTCAAGATGGAGAAAGATCGTTTTTAAACCGAGGACAACCTGTCTTACAGCTCTGTGAAGTTAACGCAGGGCAGAGGTGAGTTAAAACGGAGAGAAACTGACTTTGACTCACTTCCCTGTTGCGAGCACACTCACTTACTGTGCCACTGACGGAGGAGCGCGCTTTATTTCCTGCCCTCACGTTCAAGTTCACACATGACCGAGGCATGTAAGAACGTCACAGTTGCTGACTGCACTTACAGCATATACATGTTCTATATGCGCACACATTAGGGGTCCTCCCACGACAGATATAAGCCACAATAGGTTTTTGATCGGTCTTTGTGTGGTTATACATTCTTTTTCTTGTTACTACACCCTGCAGTCTTTCACTTCATCTCTGCTTCCTGAAATCATAATCTCTCATATAACACTCATGTGAAAGGTATGTAGGCTATGTGCCACCTTTAAAACAGAAAGTATATTTCACACTGGGCTTGCTAAACTTCCTCAGAAGCAGACGTAGGCGGAGTAATGTTGAGTCATTTCAGCAGATGCTGTAACTTCCAGTAAGACACATGATACCATATCTGCACATGGCAGTCCCTTCAACCCAGACATCTTCCCAACGGCATCTACCATCAGGAAATCACCAAGCCTTCACAGTCTGAGTTCAGTGTTAGGAAAACAGCGTTTGCTTTTGGTTTTACTCTTAGTTTCTATTCAATCCAGTAAGCGACCAGTTTACTGGATTTCCAGCTGGTCCAGTAACGGTAAATCCAAGACCCCCTACATTACCCTACATTTAAGAGGAACTATTGCACTTTTCCTTCCCGTTTATTTGTATAGGGGCAGGTTTTGAAAATCAGGCCCATTAATAGTTTAAATTTCCAATCCTTTAGCCTTCTGTTTTTTCATGAAAGTAATCATTCACAGGCAGAGATGACTAAGTTTAACACTGTTATATTTTTGTCCTTGGACATTTTTATGGGTAAGGATGAATAATAATAATACCCCACATTTGATAAGAATAACAGAAGTTGTTTCTGTACATTTTTGAATATAATTTGGCCTAGAAATTTTTGGGGTTGACTCACAGACACAATCCCAACTTTTAGTCCTAACATACAGTATGTGATGAAAAAATAGCTTGATATTGATATAAAATGATTGACATACTGAGACATACTAAGTTTATATTATTCTGTACAGAGTAAATACTGTATATTGTGTCTTTTATCTCCAAGTTTTGATTTCATGTTAAAAATAAATAAAATAAAACCATTTCGGTTAAGTGTGCTGAGTGAAACCACTAGGGGTCACTAGTATGTTTAACATGGAACAGCCTTTACATCGATGTCTTGGGGTTGGAAATTTTACCTTTGTTGAAAAGGTAAATAATTAATAGTTGTGCTAAAAATTGTCGATTTTATAACTTGGATTTGCACATTTTGTTTTGTTGTTATTCGGCTGTTTTAATTAAAAAATACTGATAATAGTACTGTTGTATCTTGTGTCGTGGGTTATAATTTCATTGATTGGCCACATGGGGGTGGTATGGACCTACAAATCCCCTCTTTTGTTTCTTGCTTCTTTCAATACCACCAGTTTATTAGATTTGGGTGCTTTCCATCATACTTTTAAAATGAATCAGTCCATCCCCCCTAATGCTCCATCAACTTATTGTTTGTTTCTTTAGAGATCTCATTAAAGACATGTGGAAGAGGGCAGGCTGAGACATTTTACTAAGACATTCCACATGTCAAAACCAATTTCCTGGGAGTTCTCACTGTTTTGTCCAGCTCAGAGACAATGCATAGGCATATAGCAAATAGATGACAATTCCCTTTTAAATAGCATTAGGTTTCTATAATGTGAATTTTTATTATTGCTTTAACTACATTTAAGATCAGTTTAATTACCCTGCTTGAAGCTACAAGCATCATTTGTGGTTTGTTTTCTCACCTCAGGTAGCATTACTTGCTTTAAAATAGCAAGATATGCCACAGCTGATTGCCTCAGTTTCAGTTATCACAGAGATTAAAATGTCTTGTATTCAGGTCATAGTTGGGACAACAGATAATGTTAATAAACATTTTTTTATATATATAAATACAAATGCAGCCTGAAGTTTTTGAGCCTTTTCTGTTCCAACATGGAGCTTTTTCCCCCCGATTTTGGCAGCTACCCTTTGGTCTTTGCGGTGTGTGTTTGGTGTTGAATCATGTCCTTTAGCTAAGCCTGCATCACCACTCACTTGAAGTCTGTCATAATTTTTGGGGTCTTCTTAGGTAAAGGGCTCTCACTGCGGCTTTGCAACATCTGGAAACAATGCAGCTGTGCTGGTTTTCCGTGGTACCTGGGGGCCACGAGGTTGGGGGGTGGGTCTGAGGGGTTGGGCTAGTTGCTGCTTTGGCCCTGGGGGTCCATGTGTCCCTGACTTCAAAATAGACTTGATTGCTAACAGCTGGCAGTCCTAACTCACCCAGTGTCAGAGCTCTCCTCTGATGTCAACCTTGTCAGTATCAAGGCCCGGACAATGCGCGGCCAGCAGCCCAGCAGAGGTGGAGAGGTGTAATGAGTCAGAGGGAAATGAGATTCAGAGGGTGATCTCTTTTTTATGAAGGTTGTTACCATAAAAAAAGTTTGAGTTTGGTCACACACATGATTTAAAGGTGAAAAAAATGTGATGCTTTGGGGATAAAATGTAAAAGCTATGGTTTCTTTTAAAAGATCACACAAAATGTGTTCTGTCTTTTAATATCTCAAGACCAAAATATACTGTGTGTGAAAATTATTTTAGAAAAATAACTTTTCTATTCTTCATCAAAATGTAGGTCTGTCTCTGTTTTTGTATAGCCTTGTCCTGCTATTTACTGCCAAAGTATGAGTAAACAGGACAGCAGCTCATTAGCATCTTTTATTATCCAATTACAAACTCTGCTCGGCTAATTACCTCCAATCAGCAGGGAGAGGGAAATGGTGGACTTCCTGGAGGACATGCATCCAGGACAAAAAGGACAAACTCATTTTTAATCTCTTACTGGAAATGGAAAGTGATTGACAGAAACCCAGAGTGTTGAATTGATTATGTGGACTAAACAATTAGATGTTGTCACCCTCACTAGTTGCCATTACAGTGACAAGCTCTGGTAAATGGTACTTTTGTAATCCTAGGACAATAAGGGATATAAAGTTGTTTGTTGGTTGTGTCTGGTTTAAGCTCCTGTAAGGAACTTTCAGTTTGTGTCAGTTTTGGTTCCCCCTGTGGACAAAGCAGCTTTTTTCCTATGTTGTCCTCTACATGCTTTAATAGTGTCTCCTGGTACTATTTTAATCTCTGACTCCTGATAGTCAAATGCATCTAATTGCTTCGATATATTTCCTCTATATGTCATAAAAATGCATAATTCTGAATTTCAGCCTTCATTCTGAGTGTCAAAAAATCCTTACAGGAGCTTTAATTTGACTGAGGAAATAAGTAATCAGTACTGGCATGTGGACGTGAGCCAGAGGACGGAAAAAACTCAGCAAACCAATCTGACATGATCAACCAGCAGATTCTGTAAAAGCATGTTGAGACATGTCAAATAAATTGTGTTTAATGTTGACTGTTTTTGTTGAGTGTTGTCTTGTCTTTAGCCTAGTCTGCTAGTTGAAGCACATTGTATGAAGATAACAGGTGGAACTTTTTTTCTGTATTTAAATGAGCTTTTTACAATCAGCTTTAAACAGTATTTGTAGACGAGGCCTCCACAGATATCTTTTCACTTGATAAGAGCATGAACAACTCAAGCGGCTTATTAGATAAAAAAAACTTTTGCACCCATACTGTGCCTTTGGTGTGTTGAGAAATAAACATGCAAGATGAAAGTAAGCCTCTTCTTGTGTAACACTGAAACATCTCACTGTTGAACTTAACTGTGGTCGTGTTTTTCTTCCGATTCTGTTATTGACTTTGTGAAAGGAAAAGGCAGGAAATATTTTTTAAACAGCTGCAGAAACAATTATCCTTCATCAGATGATGAAGGGCAATCTCTGCACAAGGTTGTGCTTATAACTAAGCTATGCATCATTATTAGACAATTAATTACTCTGTCATCAGCACCGGCAACAACACCGTCCTACTGGGATTCAGACGCAGATGTTTCAAAACTCTGCTTTGACAACACAATCTATAACTGAGGGGCTGTGGATCCTGTTTCAGGCTTTGACTACACTTTGACTTTCCTCACACAGAGTTGCTCATATTTACTTTTTTCCTCTTAGTTAGTTTGAGTCTCCGGAAGATGTCAAGAAAGGCCAGGAATAGCATGGGCCGGCCACTGGGACTAGCTGTTGTTTACAGACAGTGACAGGGATGAAGGACCTCTGTGCTCTGGTGCTGGGCCTGAAGCCTCAGGAGTGTGCTTGCACTGCTGCTGTTACTGTTGTGGTCGCTGTAACAACACGTGCACACACACATTTAAACACATGGCTGTTAGGCAGTTAAACTTCGGTGTACAAAGACACACAAATCATGATCAGTGTTTTCTGTTTTTACCTTTCATACACACACACAACCTCCTTTTATCTTTACGTCCAATAACACGGATACTCACTATCTAGGCTTTGAAAACTGGAATTATTTGACAACAACAAACCTTGTTAACCTGCAATGAACCTGTTTCTTCGTGTCACGGTGATTTCACCAGCTGACTGAGCAGACCTCAGTGTTAAGTCAATACGAGCTGATGTCAGAAGAATCCCAAATTCTCCTGATGTGGTCTTGTGCATTTCTACGTGAAACGATAAAGCAATCAGTTTAAGTAACTAAGCTGACCTTAACATTGGGGTCAAGCTCGGCTGTGGACTTAAGAGACATATAAGGTAAGCTACGCCATTTTTCAATTTCTGCACTCCAGATAATTCAAGTCCTTTAATTTCTGAAATATGAGCGAGAATAAAAAAAAAAAAAACACATTGCAATATTGACAAATTCTGTTTAATATTGTGTGATACTCTTCTCTTAAAATACAGTCTTTTCTGAGGTAGACCATTACAGTTCAAGAACATTATCATTTTTAAAACAGACATCAAAAAAGACATGAAATAAATACTTTCATGTACAATATGCCGCAAAAATGAGGTAGAAATGGTTACAGAAAATGTACAACAACCAAGAACAATGATACCGCGATAACAGATCAAAACATGTAAAAAAATAAACGCTTCTTTTGTTGGACAAACTGTCAGGAGTAAAGGGAACAACCACAAATCAACATTATGTAACCAACTGTAAGTATAAGTCGATGTTTTTGTTTCATTTTGATTATTCCGTGAATAATTGGCAGCTTTATCTCCACCATGCAGCTTGAGGCAGGGGTTGTTTTGTAATTTGTAAATGTGTTTTCAGTTTCTGCGACAGTGATCAGTATGCACAGCGGGGGTCACCCTGATTGATCTGGCTGTACAGCATGACTGAAGCCACCAGCTGGAAAGGGACGGCTGCACTGTGATATAGGGTTGCTGGACATCAATCAGACCACTTCCACTCCACAGAGAGAGATCAGTGCAAGGGAAGGGGAAGGTGAAGGGGGGGTGGGGGGTGGGGTGGGGTGGTAAGGGCGGAGGATACAACACCACATGGCCACAGGGGCTTGTGGCCAGGGGGCAATCCAATCTAATGAGATTGCACTGGGGAGAGAGAAAAAGAGAAAAATAATGATGAGGGGAGGGAGGGGGAGAGATACAGAGGGAGGAGGGGGTGGGAGGAAATATTACATCATTCTGTGTGTTCCTCCTCAGGACCATGGCAACAGTCACTGGAATACGTAGGACCTCTGTACCTGCAGTCCAGTGAGTGTGTTTTTTCCAGCTTGTTAAAACAAAACTGTAGGACGGGCGTGGAGAAGAGGTTTGTCCCGATTGTCCACATGTTGTCTTCAACTACAATATGTACACAAAAACTGGATTTATACACTTTGGATTTTGCTAAAAGCTACAGTACCTCTAATTCTTTTGACTTTTTTTTGCATGTGTGATTTCCTTTGGAGGTATTTTGTGCTCGAATGTCACCATGAATTTACAGAAATGATTGTGTGCCCTAAGATATTTTTGGGATATGACTTTAAAGACATACATAAACAGGATATGTATGTTGCAAGCAGTTTGTCCAACAAAACAAGGAATATTTTCAGTATTCTATATAGCATTTCTTGAAGACAATCATCACTCCACCATAAACTACGATAAAAATAAAAGGTAAAAGAACAGAAAAGAAAACATATTTATATATTCATATATAATAATACATGGATTTATGGCATCAAATATCCTTTGAAATACCTGAATTACATTCAATGTTACTCTTTGTAGCATCTTCAAGTTTCTCTACCGAGGTAAAAGCCCAGCTGTAGTGGGTGTTACAAGACTGTCAGGTTTCTCCTCGCTCCTCCTTCTCACGGCGTCGCTCTCTACTAAGACCCTAAGATTACATACATTCTTTAATTTCATATTTCTGAGGTAAAGAAATTCTTCCTGAGCATTTCAAACATGACTACACACTAGAAAAACAAAAGGAGTAATTTGAAATAAAAACAGACTTTAGGAAAAGCTGGGGGTGCCAGAAGGGTATCTTCTGTTTGGTGGGTGGGATTTTCAGGAAAACTGCAGACAATCAGGAATGTGATATGGGGAACAAAGTATGTGGAAGTCACAAACAACCCAGAAATGAGACTAAGTGGCCCCTGAATTCATTCATTTTTATGCTCCAATGAAAATATATGATTTTTTTTTTTTAACCATTTCCCATGAGAATTTCTTTAACTTTGAATCAACAGCAGCATGTTTGGATTTCATTAAAGTCCTCAGACATTTTTTTTTTTTTTGGAGGGGAGTAGCAAAGACTAACTGTTTAGATTTGGTGCCAAGCTTTGAAGACATATTATTTTAACTGTTTGGAGAAGTAAAATAATACAGCTGATTTTGCATGGTTAGATGAGTTTTGGTAGAAAAACATAAAAACAAACAAAAAACAAAACAAAAACTGTAGTGCTGAAATGTTGCTGATCCTAAGCCCTTTGCGCTGATTTTGTGACAATCCAATGACTAAATCAACATAATGTGGAAGCAGATTGGCAATAAATAGGATCCTGAGAGTAGCAGTCAAAGGGGGATTTCCAAACCCTGATTATCCATAATCTTGGACCACGTCACCTAGCAACAAATAATTGATTTTGTCCCGGATCAAGGCTAATCAGGATCTCAGAGAGCATCCAAATAGAATTTCAGCTGATTTTCCCATTGGCCAAAAGACTAATACACTACCCCACTTAACAAGGCCTTTTCTTCTTCTCTTCTTTGGGAAAAACAAAAATATTGCGTGTATTCATAGGAAAACAAAGAAAGCACACCATGGCATGCTTCTGCCAGTGGAACAAATCTGTCACTACCATCAACCTTACCTGGCTCTTTTGGCTGCATAATCCATAATTACAAAACAACATTCCCGAGGCCTGCCATGTCAAAGCAAAGACAGGGTTATAATGCAGTCCAAGTACAGCGACTGGCTACGTTCTCAGTGGTTATACATCTTGCTCCATTCTGTACAAGTGTCCAGTTCTTTTGTGGCGTTGTGTGGGCGTACCTTACAGAAGGCATTCTCAAAGTCTGTGAAGGCTGGGGGTTTGGATGATGTGGGGAGGCCGTGCGAGGCTCCAGTGGGGGAGGACGCTGAGGACAGTGCCTGCTGGCTGAGTTGAAGCAGCTCCCACACTGAGAAGCCCTCTGTGCGCTGCAGCACGGCGCCCAGCTCCCGCTCACTAAGGCTGCAGCCCTGAGGCGACAGCACCTGAAGCAGCACCTGTCTGCGCATACCCACATCAGGCAGGCCGACGTGATACCTCTTGGCAAAGCTCCTATGAACTGCATCTTGCAGCAGATCGGGCCTGCCAGTAGCACACACAAGAATGACCAGACCTGTGGACCCCACCTGGGCTTTTTCCAGGGTGGTTAACAGTGTCTGCCTCAGCCCCTCCTCTTCCATGGCCTCCACCTGACTGAGCAGCACCACAGAGGGCTGCCGTGCCCCTGCAGCTTGCAAAAGAGACCCCAGAATGTGCTCTGCCTCTGCCTTCCCTTTAGACGCCAGCATGGCTCCACTCAGCCTGTAGAATGAAGCCCCCAGCTGCGAAGCCAAAGAACGAGTCAATGTGGTCTTACCCCCTCCCCTCGGACCGAAAAGCAGGACGGTTCTTGGTGGCCGCACCACTGGACTTGGCCTTAACACGGGCCAGAGGAGGTCCTCCTCCAGGGCAGTCTTTACATGAGTAAGCCCAGCCAGCTCACCCCAGCCCAGTGCCGGGCTACAGTCCAGTAACTCTCCATTGACAAGATCCAACAGCCTGGGGTCTGGGCTCTTCATAGTCTCCACAGTGGGAGCACATAGAGGGCGCTTGTGAGCCTGGGAGAGATGTTGCTGCTGTTGGATGAAACCCTGCTCCGACACCACATTCTCCCCTGTCATGCCCGCTTGAGGGCTAAATTCCCCCGCTGTTCCGTACTGAGGAGACACCAGTGGCTGGGAGGAGGGCTTCGTGGGCTTGAAGGTTTGGGGGTCTGTGCTGCCTGAGCTGCTAAAGCCGTTTCCCCGACATTCAGTTTTGTCATTCACACTGTAGGGTGAGTTTCCCCCAGCTTTCAAGGGGTCATAGCTGTATTTCCTGTAACGAGAGCCATCCCCACTCTCATCCTCGTCTACACTCATCTCAAAAGCTTTTCTTTTTAATGTCCCTCCTGACTCGGATGTCCCAAGGTTGGTGCTCTGGTAACTGTAGCTGCCTCCTACGACTGTGGGCCTTGAGGGGACAGGGGTGGGGGCTGGTAAACCTGAGGGCAAGTAGGTGGCAGATGGGTGGCTGTAGCTGGGGGCAAGGCTGGTCTGGGGAGGGTATGTGCCAGGGGGGTAGTTATAGACAGGTGTGGTAGGACTATAACTGGCCACCAGGGTAGGGGTGGATTGGAGAGTGTGTAGGGAGGCAGGGGGAAGTGCTGCACTGGGTTGGGGACAGTACCCTGAGGACAGATAGGTGCCGTTGTAGCTGGAGGGGTACTCGCTGGAGCCACTGCAAGAGCTGCTACCACTATAGCCCGAGTCTGAGAGATTACTGTTCACGACGGACACACTGCTGACCCCCGGCAGGCCTGCAGATGTGGCTACAGCTTTGGAGGCTGAGAGGCTTTCATGGCCTCCAGGGGGCACCAGGGAATAGGAGGCATCAGTGCTGTGCGTCAGTGGCCAGGGCTCCAGTTCTGTCTTTGGGCCACTCAGGCCCCCAAAGGCCCCAGGCTCAGGGTAGGCACCCACAGCAGGAGGCCTGTCATAGGGTGAGTCCAGGACTCCAGAATACTTCTCAGCATAGCGCTTCAACAGATTTGAGGCCGTCAAAGCTGAGATGTCATCATTGGCCCAGGCGTAGTTGTAGGAGCCGCGACCTCGGCCGGAGTAGAGTTCCGACTTGTGGGCCGGAGAGGAGGTGGTGGAGGAGACGTCCAGGTGCTGCTCAGGCCACTGGCTGAGGGGCTGGGCATGCTCTGGGTTCCAGTGCATCTTTAACAGGCCTGAAGAAGAACACAGAAAAACCAAGTTACAGTTTTCCTCTGATTACGATTATGATAGGGAGAAATACACAAGATCATCTGAGAGAAATGGATCATTGTGAGCACGATATCATGCATTTCTGTCAGCATATCATTTGCACAGGGATCTAGAACCTTCAAATCCAAATAACCAGACACAAGAAATCTCCTTTCTACTTCTACTTCTGTATTTTCCTCATGTTTGACGAACAAATGAGCTCAAGGTTTCCAGAAAGAAGTCTAAAGGAAAAAAAGAGTTGTCAGGAAATTGAGAAATCTACTTCAAGACAGTGAGTGAGAGAATGTCAGTGTATTGGCTGTTTTTCCCAGCATATACTCGGGTACTGATAAGATCCCACTACTATTCCCCACACTGCTAACATCTGCAGGTCTCCCAGTGGAGCTATTGTTATCTCCCTGTGCATGTTGCTCTGAATGCTGCTTTCCCCGCCCTGCACCCCACCTACCACCCACCAACCCACCCACCAACAGTACACCAGAGCTCCAAAGGCCCAGTGGCCGGCTGGACAGAGGGAGGGAGGGAGGGGGGATTTGTATGTGTGTGTTCGTGGACAGTGGTGTGGAGAGAGTGAGAAAAAAAACAAGAAAGAAAAGGGGGGGGGGGGGGGGGTTGGGTTTGGGATTGCAGCATAGTGTGCTATTCATCAGCACACTCTCCCATGGAACATTGGGAAAGTGGAATGTCTGTTCCTCTGGCTGACTTCAGCACTGGCCGAGGTCTGATTGATCATGGCTGCTACACACTGAGCACATCGCCAAGCTAACAAAAAAAGAGGGTAGCCTCATAGAAAGAGACGGACTGTCCTATGAAAAATATTAACTGGAACTGCATCTGAATGTGTGGAAGAGGAACAACTTGTCTGTCTGACAACTCTTACTGAAATGTATAATGTATCTGCAAATTTCCTGTGTCTGCATGCTATTGTTCTTACCCTTTTAGAGCAAATCTGAAGCCCAACAACAGGCTCTATTGTCAGTTTTAGCATGTAAGAGACAATCTCTAACCACATATGTATGGCATTATGATAGTTATAGAAAAGTCTATGACATGGAGAGTAGCAGGAACACTTGCTGAGGCATAAGCTTGACATTCCATGCATAGCTTGGCATTATTGAACTGTCACAATTTACCCTGGGGTAAGGACTACTTCAGCCAGAAATGGAGGTAAGGAGGAATATGGCAAAAGCCGTCTTTACTCGCCGCTCTGCCCTCCCTTCAGTGAACGCCTGATGATTCATTATTCATGGCTGTCTGTGTGTGTGGAGCCAGGCTTCTTATTGCCATTTAAATCAAATCTCAATATACCACAGACAGTGATTCTGCCGCTCTCTAGCTCCAGCTCCTAAACTTTGGCCTCTTTCTTTACCCGCTTTGCAAACCGGCCCATGTGTGTTTTCAGATTACGCCTGTTATTTATTCAGTCAGATGAGACCAGCAGACCAGATGGCCATTGGATTATCACGTCCTTCATATTCAAATCCACTGCCTTAAGTTCCCAATGGCCAAAACCAGTTCAAGTACTTCCCTAAGCTTCAGCCGACCCACACAACAACACACCCGCCGCAGGATGATGTGAAGGAACGTTCTCACACTCTATTCACTTCTGTTTTCAACAAACATGCTGAAGACATTGTCCTCTCCACACCCAGATGACCACATATTTTTGTGGCCTAACTCGCAGGTCTTTGTCCAGGCTGCAGAAACCGTATATGTCCTGCAGGCCCTTCCCATCTGCAGCCCGACCAGTTTGTGAACAGCCTCAATAATGGGGCCTGTGTGTGACAGAGATGGATGAGAGCCCAGGGGAGCTCATAAAACCTGCAACGGGGAGGGAGGGATTGGAAGAGGGAGGGAGAGGAAAAGAGTGGACAGCAGGCGCTTCGTCCTCTCAGAGTGGACTGGAGCGGACATTAGAGGACTCAGTGAGGCGGGCTAACTGCTGTCCACTCCATCATTAGGGTAGCACCAACACAGAATGGACTTCTCTCACACACTACCCCCTTGACTAACGTAATGACCAGCTGCCCATACCTGAAGAAGCAATTCACTGTAAAATCTGAGAGTAATTACTTTCACTAAGTCTCTTCAAAAAGTGCATTACACTCTTCAGTTCCTTCTGTATGTACACAGCGAGTACGATGAGCGATGGGCTGCCTCTCACCCCTGATGAAAACAGCAGGGTGGTAGCGCAGTTTAGCCTTTTCCATATAATTAGATCTCGCCTTCAGCTGGATTGTGGTTTTTAGATCAGCCGCCCTTCACAATAAACTGAGCAAGCTCTAATCTACACTTCTGCTTAAATCAGAGCCATCATGTAGATTAATTCACTGGAGAGGCAGGAAGAAAGCTAAGATTAGAAGCGGGTAATCAGGACAATGTGGACGTATTGTGGAAAGCAGTGCATTCGTTAGATTAACTTGAATATACATCTGAGTGTGAGGCTGGATTTTAATTATCCAGGAAAACCAATGGGGACAACGAGGCATCACCCTGCTGATCGGATGTTTTCAAGTTTGTGGGCAGAATGCAGTTTTTAACCATTAAACTTTCACATTTCTGCTTGAATAATCTGCCATACCTCTCTACCTGTATTTTACCCATACATGCAGAGGATTATGGATTAAAAAACACATTCAATATCAGCTGCTGGATCCAGTCCTAACAGGAGAGGAGCGGACAGGGTTTAATTTGATCTGAACTGTGATCATTTATGAGATGTATACATAAATATGTGATGAATAAGCTTTTCCGTTGACCAGTAGCTAAAAAGAGGTTGTGTGTATGCACATGAAATTTCCCACTGTGTGTATGCGCGCGTGTTCTCGGCCCCAGGAGAGACAGATGTTCTCCTGCTGACCGCCTTACTGTCTGTGCAGCCATTGTGATGGAGGGCTGTCCAGCAGACGTGCGCAGCTCGGACAATCCAGTTGGCCCTGAGACAAAGCCTGAAGGATCCTTTTGTCAGGGGCCTGTCTAATTATGGAAATCTTATTAATCTATTCAGCAGCAGTCCACTGACAGCTTTTGTGTCACCCTGGGATTTATTGAGGGACCTGTGTGAGCTGCATCCTATTGACGGAGTGTGTGATGAAGACAGTGGCAACGATCTCTTCAGCAGAAACCAGATTTACTTTAAGAAGGCCCTAAAATCTAAATAAGATCACTGATGGCTCAGAGGGAGTTTTTAAAGTTCATGTGTGATTTCAGCCCTCAGCTGCTCTAAACTGCCCTAAATGACTGAATCTCATGTTGACTGGGTGAAACATAAGTAGCTTTTGGCCTATAAAGGCTGGTTGTGCTCTGGACGGTGTTGTGGTTTCCTATAAAAGAGGTATTGGTGGGTGATGTGAAACGTTATCTTGGCAGGAAGCCCGGAGGTAGAGGTCTCCGGCGCTGTTTCACAGCTCCCCTGAGGTTGCTTTTCCCTTCTCCCTTCCCGGCACTTTTGTTTTCTTTGCCCCGAGGAACAAAACGGACATGGATGCAGCAACCCTTCAGGGACAGTGTGCTATTAAACCATGCCGATCGTGAAGAGGCTGCTTGTAAACAAGAGCGTTGGATCAATCCAATCAGGACTCTATTCAGGGCAGAGCTCTACCCCCATCCACTGATCACAGTAAACAGCCAACACCACCACTCCTCCGTGCAGAGAGACAAAAATCAGGGCACCAATTTGACCATTCACAGATCTATAAATCCTTTCGCTCAATACTTTAACATCTTAAAAACATCAAGCAATATTACGATGAGCACTTTACACGGTAAAAAGAGTTTAAAAAGTGCTGCTGAAAATCATTAAATGCATTTTACTTTTAAAAGGTAAGTTTGTCCAGCAGAAAGGTCGACTATTTTTTTTTTTTTTTTTACTTAAAATCCTTTTTTAAGGAAAATTCTTTCAGGACTTCTTGACAAAAGTTGCAGACAGGGCAGTGTCAAATTGTTTCAAGAATGCTGCTCTGGCTGTTGTGGCAGTATGTCAAGGATTCAATTTAGACAACGTCTCAAATGGGCACTTTGAAAAGACCAGCCTGAAATGAGTGCTGCTTAAATAAACGACACGCAGGCATACTGACAAGGAACGACAGAAAAGACGACACGAGGACACACACTTCATTTGTGCTGATAAATCACAAGCTTAAAGCTCAGATGACTGCATGACTTGTTCTGTATTCAGAGAGCACACGCTGATCAATGAGTTATTGGACCAAACTCATGCATGCCTGACAAAAATGTGTAGCAGTAATTATGTCTAACGTCGGTACTCTTTGATCACTTTTGTAAAGCTGAGACAAACATATCCAATAACCTTCTTAGAGAATGTGAGGGAGCTGCGTCTGCACTCGGGATCTGTTATTTATCAGTTTGTTATCTTGATTTGTCGTTCACTCTTGGAAGCCCCTTAAGTCCCCTGTTCTCAAGTTCACTGTGATTTATGACACTAATATCAAGCAGGACATTCTCGCTAGGCTGTGGTCGTCCTGCCGCTGCTGCATACTACCTGGCCTGTCATAAAAAACACCAATCTGAGAGGCCGGCCACATTTCACACGTGGCAGGTGGAGACAGTGGAAAATTGTCTCTGGATGTTCTCTCAGTTGAGAATGAAATTCACATTTTATCACCTTGCACAGCCCACATAACCAACATGATGAAAACTTGTGATGAATTTTCACAAATGTACTGTGTTACTTCACCCACACCTCCAATAACTTTACCCCACAGATGCTGTAAAGCTTTGTTCTCAAGTGGAGTATTGTCAAAAAGCTGTTAAAGAAACAGAGAGGTCATACTTGGAGACCCTTTTCCAAACTTCCTTGAGACAAGTTAATGCGCACACAGAACAACAGGGGTCATAATTTATCAGACATGCATAATTGAGCATTGCAGGGAAAAAATATTATAAATCTATGTGTTAGTCATGGGGCTGCTATCAATCAAATGAAACACAATCCCACACTCCCACTCTGCCTCTCGCTCCCTCTGGCTCATCTGCTCCCTCTTTCACGGCCCTAAAAAGACGTAATAACAGAAGAGTGCTGGAGCCCTTGTGGGGAGTTTTCACACCTGCTGCACAGAGCGCCAGCAGACGCAGTTCTTTTCAAGCACGCCTCACCAGCCCAGTCCCAGGAGGAAGGAGCTCATCTCCTTCAGTGGCATTGAGGGATGTGCTCTGTGTATCTGTGTACCTTCCTCTTACTGTGGCTAGAGCTGTCTGTACTCCAAGTTTCAGAGAGACACTTTGTCCTTTGCTTTTTTGTTTGTTTGTTTCATAGCCCTTTGGGGGCGTTTATTTCGGCTGTTTATTTTGTCAGCCTGTGCAGCTGATACAGTTTTATTAAAGAAAGGACAAAGCTACAATAGAACACTTTGAGGATACACAGACGAGCAGCACAACAAAAAACCCAGGGCCCTTGAATATAATAAAGCAAAGTTCAGGCAGATCACAGTTATTGTTAGGAGCCATTTGAAGCTTCAATGTGAAAAAAGATCAATGTATTAGCAGTAAATAAATATTCATCATCAACAAAAGTAATTTTTGCAGAGAAGAGCAGTAGCCTAACTTCTTGGTGGCATTTGTTAAATATTGATGAATTGACAAGCGTGTTTAGAATTGCTAATGATACTGCAGCCAAAAAAAAAAAAAAAAAAGTAGATCCCCATCTGAGAGCTGGCAGGATTTACAACCCTTTCCTCAGCACTCTCCAAAACTAGAAAGCCCCCGGAATAATTGCTGGATGTGTCACTTCATGCTCGTAATTTTAGAAACAACCCCCCCATCCCCCGTGCCTGCTAACGCACGTCCACAAATGGCTAAAACCCCTCCCCTTCAAGAAAAACAGGGTCCCTATTTTCTATGACTGCAGGCTGGCTTTAGGTCATTGTGTCCACTAATATATCAAAGAACAGCTGTCCTAAGGCTCTGTGATGACCAATCACCCCTTCCATCTGTCTCACTCGCCCAATCTCTGTCCTATCTCCCCCTCTCTCCAGCTCTATCTTTTCTCTGCAATCTCCTTCTTTCCCTGTTTCTCTGCCTCCCCTGTTCCCCCCGTTCCCAGTAAGCATGTTGCATTCCCTCCTTTCTGTCCAAATCCCCCTCTGTGCTCGCAGCTTAAACTCTCAGCACACGGATGGCTCTGGGATTTGTTGCTCTCTACTTGCGCAGACACAAATAAGAGAAAGGTTGACTTACTCCACAGCCACACTTGCCTCCATGGTGATGCATTTCATGACTACTGTACGACAAACACCTAATGGTCTTATGATGAAAGTATGTTATTTATCAAGCGTGCTCATTTACTAATTAACATTGCTGCTGTGAAAGGTGCTGTGTCTTATTGTCCAGCTTTGAATTCTGCTGCCTTAGGAATTCAGTGAAGTGTTGCCAACAAAATGAGCCTCACCGCCTTGCTCCTTAATTGGGCCCTTAACGGGACCGTAGGTCTCCTTAATGAGCTGATGAACCCTCGGAGAGACAGTGCAAGGTGCCAGTGGACTCATGGGGCCCTGGGTCCCCAACCATCTTTTCTTTTGGATGTACACTCATGCAAACATAAGACACATAAAGCCACACACACACACACAGACATGCACGCACAGACATGCACGCACATGCACTGAGGGCTAATTAGAGCCCATTCACACCCAACACTAATGATCCCAGCTCTTATTCACACACACTTTAGTAGACTGTGTGTTTACTAAAGGGCCTCACAGGCCCCTCCACTGCACCTCTCATAGCACTTTCCCTACAATAGGGATAGATGCAAAGCAGCTCTCCAACCTGCTTCTTCAGGGGCCAGGATAAGATCTACTTCTTCTTCTTTCTATACAAACTACTTCATGACTTAGCCGAGTCATTCACAAAGACACTCGCACAAAACATAAAAACAGAGCTGGAGAGAGAAAAGAGAGGGAGAGAGGGGTCAGTCAGAGGAGAGCTATAAAAACTGTGAGATCTGGAGTCCTGTGTGTGCGTGTGTGTGTGTGTGTGTATGTGTGCTGTTTTAAAAGAAAAGGTATCGCTACACCGGGGGGGGCCCCAGCAACAAGAGTTAGGGCACTCCTGGGTTGGCGGCCTGGGACTGATTTAAGAGTGTGTTTGAAGTGCAGATTACAGATTCTTTGCACCAAATCCCTCCAGGAGTATCCATGGCCCCTGGAATCTCTCTCAGGTTTCTCTTCAGGTCCGGCCGTGGCTGCTCGCCTCAGCTTGAGGTCCTGAGGACTGACCGGAGATGAGGACCAAAACTGGACCCACCAAGGATGAATGGGAATCACACAGATCTAAATATCTGTAAAAGCATTACTAATAACCGAGTCCAAAGTTCGGTATTTGGTGTTACTACCGTGTGTATATCAGTACACCCCTACCTGTCATTATGCAAGGGCAAAAATTTAAGGCAGGGGTAAAAAGTAGAAATGGGAATCGTAAAATTCTCCCCACTCTCATAGAGGGGATTCCAACAGGGAGGTGAGAGTCTTCGCATGTCCTGCATACATGCAAAGTCCCTCGAAGTGGGAGCCCTGGTCAGCAGAACCATGACTACAGTCTTTAACTAAAAGACAGCGAGCTGCAGTGTCACCAGCGAGCCCAGGGGTGTGTTTGTGTGTCACTGGTCTGAGAATAAACAATGTGACTACCTAACACTGCTGTGTGGCTTACACGTTTCCTCTGTCTGCATACACGCAAACTAACAGGCTGCTCCGAAACAATCTCAGCGCTGCAGGAGCGCTGCAGAACAGAGCTGCTCTGTGCACCAAGAACCATGAAGCCACTGGGCAGAGCAGATGAAAACCAGCATTGTGCATCCTAATCATTAAAGCAAATCACACACAAAGGCTAGTACATAGTTGACTGAATGATTGGCAATAAGGAGCAGCAGTGTGCTGGCTCTGAAGGCATGCAAACTATTCCACCAGCAGTTTGTGACATTCTTGGATGTGCAGGCCACTTCAGAAACAACAGAGTACATCCAGTCAGTGTGGACTAACAGGGTGCAGGGAGCTAATGGGAGAACATCTCATGAAGCTGGTCTGCAGCAAAAGTATGCATGAAGGTTTTTGGAAATTGATGTGCCATCAGTATTGTTTGAGCAACTCAGCCTCATTAAATTATCAGGTATGAACATCTTTTGATGGAAAAAAACATGTTCAAACATTAAAGAGTGGACAAGTTTCACAGCAGCACATCAGATTAACTTTGTATCAGTCTAAAAATGATCAAAACATCCTGAAAATTACAAGTTAAATTAAGAATAAGACTAAAAATGAAAATGAGAATGGCTTTTAAATGTTGAAATCTGAGATTAAACATTTAAGTGTCAAATCTACAATCAAACATCTAAACTTAGGGCTCAGATCAGACCCTTTTGTTGTCCTACGCAACCCTAAATACATTTTTGAAGTTTTTTTTACCATCTATTATGAAAAAATACTTTTTAAATGAACCTTTCTGTTTGAGTGTTTTTCCTCTCTTCATGTAACTGTCATGCTGATAATGCTCCTTTGAGGGGGGTTAAAGAGCTGGGAAAAAAGGGGCTCTTGAGGCCGAGACCACAGAGGCGGCCCCATGCTGGCCAGCAAACAATGCTGTTTTGGAAAGCCAGAGCACTGGACTCAAATGAAACCTGGTGGGAGGATACGAGTAGGGGGGTCCGAAACTGGACATGTCAGTTATTAGGTCAGGATTGAAAGAAGAGTAGAGAGAGAGAGAAGAGGGAAACGGAGCACGAGCAGGAAGTGTCTGCAGACGAAAATCCTGAGCTGTATTGGTAAAATGACACTGGCAGAGCCAAGGGGTTTCTGCTGTTTAAACCATCAACTCTCCAGACTCCCTCCATCCCTCTTTAACCCCCCAAGTGTGTCTTCTGCCTGGTGATGAAACATTCAGTGCCCCTGGTTTACATTTCCACGGTGCACGTCGCAGAGAAAGTCAGGTAGCTTGCACATTTCACAGTTACCTGCGCATTTTCCCTTCTGTTTGCAAAATACTGAACACACTGTCCAACTCTGCTTATTTTTGGCTGGAGGGCTCATTGATTAAGGCAAAGTCCAACTAGGTCAAGAGGGGCTCTGCAGTGTGACATGCAGAAAGGAAGATAGCGAGAGCAGAGGGAAAGAGAGAGAGAGAGAGAGAGAGAGAGAGAGAGAGAGAAGTGTGTAGTGTACTCACTATAGGGGACAATAGGACTCAGCATTCTGTGGAGCTGGTCTCAGTAAAGAGGAATGCTGTTTTGAGTAAGCCAGCTAAGGTTAGCATCCGTCCGGCTGTAGTCCATCACAAGCATGAGCTCGCACTGACAACAGAACAGCCCTGCAAGAGAGGGAGAGAGAGAGATGTAAGGCAGTTACAGGCTGCTGCACAATGTCTGGACAAACACTCACATGTCAACCAACCCTTTCACACGAGCTCACACACACACACACACACACACACACACACACACACACACACACACACACACAGCAGAATTCACCCAGAGTATGATAGAATTACTGACCAACCTGAGAACCCTATCAGTGTAACAAAAACACACACATGCGCTCTCGCACACACACACACACGCTTATACACACACGGCCTGCAAAATTGACGCACACAAGGGTATTCATTATAGGCAGGCATTAAGCTGATTGTGAGGCAGCGTTCAGCCTCTAAAGAGGGCTTTCTAAATCTGCCTCACAAAAAGACTCGTGCATACCATTGCTCTGTGCACTGAGGCAATAAAGACTGCATTCTTAGGAGACCAAACAATTTTGGAGTTGCATAAGGGAAAAGCAGAGGGAAAAACATTTCCAATTATGAAAAAGTTTTGAGGCTATCTTTATTTTGATATCTCCTGTAGATGAATAATCCTCACAAAAAAGAATATTTTCAGCCTTGTACACTTTAAAAGACAGGACAAAATGAGAAATGTCTCTCTCATCTGCTCCAGGTTGTAAATGTCATATTTCAATCATGCGCAGATTAAAGTTAGTTTAATCCTCCAGTTTTGATTGTTTTATTCTGATATGAAGCACCTCCCTGAGCAAAACCATGAGATTATCTGAATTTGTGTTTTTTTTCCCTTCTCTCACAGAAGCCATTTGTGTTGATCCTCAGTTTTCTTGACAACAGAGCAGTATTTGTACTCACATTGGAGCTAAATCACAATCACAAAAAAGAGAGTATAAAAGAGAAACAGGATCTTTTAAACATATCTGGACACATTAGAATATGTTTATTAGAATAAAAAACAAATAATAAAAATAATTATTTGACAAATTGTCAAGCTGCTGTTTCCACTGATTAAAAAAAACACAAGTACATGCACATACTGAAAATGAGAATTCATACTTTTTTGCATGTTTGGCTGTCACAAATACTCCACTTTTTAAAATATTTAAAAAACACAATCAGACGCACTGATATACTCTCCATAAGGAAAAGAAATTATGCAATGACTGCACGGCTGTCTCTGGACACCAACAGGCTTCACGTAAAACACTGCCGCCCACCACAGCCCCCTCAGCTCTGACTGACAGTCAACTTTTAGCACTCAGCCCAGAATAACTAACTACACTACAGCAGCAAACCGTAGCACCGCCTAAAACAAACACTGCACAGTTCAGAGGAAGGCTAGGAGGAAAAAGGCTGAGTTTGGAGGTTTGCTTTGCTCCGAGTAATGTCTCATGGTCAGTGGCCAGAGAAGGGAGCTGCTACAACACACTCAGCTCCAGCAGCTCCGGTCCTCTTCCAACTTCAGCCTGCAAGCGCAGCCAAAGCAAACAGCAGAGAGAGAGAGAGAGAGAGAGAGCAGCGGCTCTGACAGCACATCAACACAGAGATACAGAGAAGACAGGAAGCCTTACCTATTCATGCCTGCATGTCCTCCATCAGAGCTGAAAGCGCTAAGATAATCCCTGGAGCAGACCAGACCTGGTGTGCACTGCTATGCTTTTTTTCCACATATGGGACACAACTCCACTCTGTCTGTCTCCCTCCCTCTCTGCCTCTCTCTCTCTCTCCCTCCCTCCCTCTCTCTCTCTCGCCCTCTCTCTCTCTCTCTGGCCAGTGACAACAGAGTGAGCACTCAGCTCCCCTCCCCCATGAATCTCCCATCCCCCTCTCCTTCCCCTTCTTCTCTCTCTTTATGCTAAAAGTATTTAAGTAGGGAGAGAGAGAGAGAAAATGAGGGGAGGGCAGCAAAGAAGAAGAGAGACTGACCAATCCTATACTAAAGAAGAAAGAAGAGCTGAAGCCTGGACACAGCTGACAATCATAGTGAGTAAGACAGTGACAGATAGAAAGTTTTGATGATGAACATTTAATCACTGCGTGGTTGAAAAGTTAACTTTCATGCTTCAGAGTGCAATGTGAAATCACATCTAAGTACACAAATATCACACTTAATATGAAAGTACACAGGCTTGATGACAGCAGGACTTAGTTGATGCACCCTCATTATTAAAGGGCCAATATGCGGCGCAATCAAATAGTTCAGGGAGTGTATTCATGTCAAACTTAAAGGAGCCAAAATAAAAATCAAGGGTGTAAAAAAAGAACAACCTCTGTCAGACTTCTGATCACATCAGTAATGTTTCTGAGATCCATCTACCTCATGGTCAGGTGCTGTTCCGCTTTCATCTATACTGGCTCTCCACACACACAGCTGACAAGCTGTTTTTAGCGCCACACCAAGGGCCACATTGCTCAGTCATCTCCTCCTGTTTCACGGAGCCGCTACTCCAGTGCGGCAGCTCCATGTTGCAACGCCACACAGATACAGGATACCACCCACACACAAACACACACATACGCACGCACAAAAATATTCCTATACATGTAAGCAAATAGAAAGAGCTGAGAATAGAGAGGGACATTCTGATCATATGTTTGGGGTCTTAAGCATCCCATAGACGTCATCATGTGACAGTGTTTGCTCTAAGAGTGGCCTGGAGGGCTGCTGACATGAAATAAATCATTCTGTGATGAAGGCCTGCAAGTTTATCATGTTGTCTGCATGGTGCTGTTGCTTCAACACTAAAACATCACTTAGTTTTGTGATGTTGTTATTTTTCATAGTTTGTCACTAACACTGATTAAATTATTATGTTTTAAAATCCTTTTATGTAAGTTCAATGTCATTTCTTAAGAGAAGCTGATTGAGGCAAAAGACACAAGCACCTTTGGTCAAGCCTCTTTTTTTTTTGGTTAAAACTGCTGATTAAAAATCAACCAACTTCCTGGTTGTACTTTGACCCACCCCGTCACACAGGTCTTCCATATTTCCACTCACCTGACTGCTTGTGTGTTTTTTTTCCCCTTAGATTGTCTTGTAACATCATCAGTTTGTCCATCAGCCTCCTGTAGTGACTAACAGAAGTAACAGTCGAGATGAAAATCTCCGTATTTACCCTTCAAACACATGACTCCTGAAACTTCTGTTGTACCACATGTAGGCTGAGCTATTTTGGGAGATGCCCTGGTGGTCAGTGACATGGCTCAAACTGGAAAGTAGGGCAATAAACCCATCGGAGGAAACGGTGCACCTCATTAGGGTAGTTACAAAACTTAACACACCCTGTGAGTCCCAGCTCAGGACCACAATTAGACTCCTTAATGTTTTCCCTAATATGGGATTCTCAATAGATTTGCTAATGGTGTCTCCGTGGGGGGGGGTTAGATGAGGGTATGGTTGAGTAGGGATGTTGAAAGCAGACAACTCTGGCGCTCTCTCTATCACTCTATTGCCTTATTAGTGCTGAGGCAGCAGTGTGTGGACATAGGCAGCCTGCTGAGCCCAGCACTACTGAAGCACAAAGACTTCAGGGCCCCGGGACATGAGTCCAGCCAAAAACTGGGAAAAAATAAGACAGAGAGAGAGTTTGTCAGAGTCAGAGACAGAGCAGGTATGCCTGCACGGACGAGTCCCAGCATCTCATGACTGATTTTGACAGGTGTCAAGATAGATCCCACCCCCTCCTCTGACATACATTAAGATACTTCTGTGCTCTTGTGACAGCTCAGGCTCCCCGTACGTTCAGAGGACATCCGGCCCAGTGGACACAGGGGGACATGGGTTACTTTCAGGCCTGGAGAGGTGTGTGGGTGCTGGGTGGAGGTTAATGGAGAGATATGAAAGGCAGACAAAAGAGCCATGGCAGGCTTGAAATGACTGCTGAATGGAAAGAAGGTGCAGGTCAAAACGCTAGAGTTTGACCTCATACTCTAAGGCCATGTCAACTCAACACCTCTGATCAGCAGGTTGTTCGCCCAGCAATGAACTGTGTTAGCAGGTCAGCCGGTTTCATTGAGTCAAACTGATGAATCAGGCTTATATTTAATTATGTTAAATCAAATCTGCATGCTGCACAGTCCAGGGTGATTAGCTAAGCAAAATATCACACCTAATGGTTGTATGAACATATAGTCGTTTTCTTCTGTATTAGGGGACGGGTGTAGAATCAGCATGTATGCACTTCGCCTGTATTCCCTTATATTCAACAGACCACAAGCAGCTTTGCCACAGAGCATCATGGGAGAGATGATACTAGATTATAACACTCCTTACTCTGTAACAAGTAACTTAATTATGACTATATGTTCAGCACATGTTAGTCGTATCATCAGGGAATGCTTCAGGGTTTGAAACACCAGCTGAGCAGTGAGAGGAGCAGAGAAGAAATATTTCCTGTAAGGTGATGTTGTTTAGTAATCAACACAGCTTACTTACTGCTGATGTGATTTATGGCAACTTTTTTTTTTTACCGTAGCCTCAAAAAAAGGGCTGTGCAAGTTACTTCTTTGACCAAATAACTGACCTGGACACACTTTAAAAAGGCATTTAGTGAAAACAAAGTTCTTGACAGAGCAGGTAAACAGAGCAGAAGAAGGCCTGGGAACAAACCTCACATCTAAGACTATAGGGCTGACCTCAGGAGTCTAATTGTCTCCAGAACTGATTGGACGGACAACACCAAGTACTACTGAAGAGAGACGAAAAGTAGAAAATCAAACCAAATTTTTATTTCTTCGCACATTTTCCTTTTTTTTCTTCTTCTATCTTTTATACTTTCCTTTAGATACAGTATTTGATAAGATTTTGCAGAGCGGTACATAGGCACTTCCTGTGATTAAGTGTTCAAGCTGAGAAATTCGTAAAAGGATCATTTGTGCATTTAAGTATCCAACGACCATTTGTGTGCGTGCGTGCGTGCGTGCGTGCGTGCGTGCGTGCGTGCGTGCGTGCGTGCGTGCGTGCGTGCGTGCGTGCGTGCGTGCGTGTGTGTGTGTGTGTTTTGGTGGTGATAATCAGTTCCAGGCTCCCAAGGTTGACCAGAATCATTTCATTAGAGCGAAGGAGCGAGTGCTGGGGCTTTGGCTGAGATTAGGGCAGAGTGAGAAACTCTACACTGGCCCCAGTTGCCCTGAAGAGGGCTGGTCGAGTGGTCGAGCGGTGGAGGAAGGGACAAAGTGTGTGTGTGTGTGTGTGTGTGTGTGTGTGTTGTGTGTAAGAAAGGGACAGACAAGGGGGGTTCAGCAGGATTATTAGTGGGAGGTTCAGCTGTTTATTATTCCAATTCTATCTCTAACAGCTGAAAATTGGAGAATTAGGCAGCAGCCCCGAGCAACCTGGGGATCAATGCAGGGGGGTTAAACCCTCTGGCACAGCTCCCCACACACTGACAGCACGCCAAGATACTGACGCAGCACATACACACACACATCACAGAGGTCATTCACAAAACTTAACAGACACATCAGATTTACCGCTCTGAAGTGATAAGACACTCACCGACTTCACAAGTGGATAAATAGCTTCACACTTCACACACGACTGAGTGTTTGAAAAACATAAGGCTGAGCTAGCTGGCTCATGGTTTTGTAAAATTTGATCAAGATTCCTTTACAAGTAATGTTTTATTTTTGGAGCTTCAAGTCAAATAAGCACTTTTAGCACTCTGAAACGGCGGCCATCTTTTTCTGAAGACATCCCTCACACAGACGTACTTTCTGTGACAGACACTGTCGGCATGCTCCTGTAGTGTCAGAGGCTCTCTTGTCACGTCCATGCATGTTGTTAATCTGGAGAGGGACATGTGACACTGGGAACTGGGAAACATGAACTTTCCACACCATGCAGGCATGCAGACTGAGGGCATGGAAACAGTTCTTTGGATATATGGAGGTCAAGGGTTGAAATTTGGATTTTAAATGGACTTCAAGCTGTTTTGAATTACAATACCAAATCAAAAAAAAAAAAAAAATGGGAACACTGTGTAAAATGTAAATAAAAACAGATGGTTTGATGGTTTCCAGATCTCTGAATAAATCTTTAATTGAAAACAGTGCAAAGGCAACATATCAAATACTGTGACCAATAATTTTTAAAATCGTTTCATGAATGTAGCCAATGTGCTCATCTTAAAAATGATGCTAGCAATGGGATTCAAAACAGCTGAGACAGGGACATGTTCATCATTGTGTGGCATCATCTCTTAACAACACTCTGTAAACATTTGGGAACTGAGGACACGAGTTAAATATTGTCCCATTCTTGTCTGATAAAGGATTTCACCAGCTCAACAGTTCAGGGTCCTTTGTTGTATTTTTGGTTTCAAAATGCAACAAATGGTTTCAATGGGTGAAAAGTTGGGACAACAGGTAGGGCAGTTTAGCACCTGTACTCTGTTGTAATATGTTGTAATACATACAGAATATGTGTGTCTCAAAACCTCTTTACACTGTTCAGCATTAATGTGGTGCCTTCACTGATTTGTAAGCTATCCCTGCCATGGGCACTCATGCATCCCAATACTATCACAGATGCTGGCTTTTAAATTGTGCGCTAATTCAAGAAGCCGCACACCCACATTTTTTTTTACAACAAATGCCAAATTTTTATTTGTCAGTCCACAGGACCATTTTCACTTCCCCTCAGTCAATCTAGTGCCAGGGACTCCAAATAGTGTTAAAAACACAACTTTCCACAGATTCTGCTTTTTTAAGTGATTTCGAGCCCATGCTGTGATTTTCGCTACAGAGTCATGTGTGATTTTAACT